ATTACAAGCAATAACGCGTATTGATTATAGTAATGAAATATACGATCAATTTGATCAACTAGCTTTCATTTACTAAATACACATGGGTAACTTTATTAGAGTAGATAACGAATTGTTTACAGTTTCAGGTCTTAATCGTCGCTTTGAAATTTAGTCATAACTGGTATAAATACGTAGGTTTAGAATCAAATCATCAATTTGTGTCAGGGTAAATGACCGGTTATCAATACTTATACAAACGTCAGTGGGAAAAGTTTATTTTTTGTACATACTACATAGGTACGTATATTCTTTTGGCATTGACATAAAACATATTTGTATTATGCGGTCTATCTGGTGGTAATTGGGCCCATTACAGCATAGATAGATACTTGCAACAGAGATTTCCAAGTGTGTTAGGTGATAGCGCCGAGAGCTTTGCGTATGGCACTGTCTCTACTGTTCTCTCACGCATGCCACAATGAGCCTACTTGAAGCGGCCGTCTCGGGTTGGCACCACAGGCTGGTCCAGTGTGGCCTCATTCGGCTACGCCGAAAAGCTAATATTTAATGCCTGAATAGCGTTAAATGTTAATTTATCCTATCTCACTTTCTTTATCTTTTAAAAATAGCAATAAGCGTTTCAGTTTATAATCTTACATTAAAGGTGTTTTTTTATGTATTCATGCCGAAAACAATATCAACTAGATATTTTATAGGTGACGCAAAAAATGTGACTATCAGTTCTCTCTCCTTATCATGTCCGCACTCCGTAGTGTATAGTATCTGTATCGTAATAGTATGTAGCTTTAACTTCCTGCTGTTAACGGAGCAGCTGCTGGTTTTCGAAGAGTATGATTGTCTTGGAAATGTCAGTCGATTTACGGCCAGGCCTTTATTAATAGCATTGACTTGTTTACACCATGCACGCGCTGTTGATAACAGCTCAAGTTGATTCTGGAATGTAAATGTACATTTCTAGAAACAACATGTAAAACAGTTGACAAATACAGCGTGTCGTTACCAACGCGACAATAAATGAACACTATCTATATGTGTGTTCATTGATAACTTTTTAAAATTGTATCAAAAATTTACATTCTTTAAACATCAATATTTACAGAGTTATTAAATTTTGCAAAACAAACAATTTTAGAACATGTTACGGTCACAAAGCATATGAATGGGTTGAATGAATTTAAAAGAGACAAAACATACTGTTAGAAGGAGAGGCTTGTAATGCGACGCTGTGGCAACGAATGAAAAAGTGTCTAAAAATGTATGAATCAGTCAGTTGTAGTTGTATAGGATGTTACAAATTTTGTTTCTTTTTTTACTTAATTAGTTAATAGGGTAACTTCGAAGTTACTCTATTGGCGTTGAGGTAAAAAAGAGTTCCATCGTGAAAATTTAATCACAAAGTGTAACACTTGACCCATGTTCTGATATTTTTGCATGTTTATTAAACAATCTTAATATGAGTGTGAACAGGGTTGAGTTGACGGAGGAATCGCAAAGCAACAGGATAAGCCTTACAAAACTTTATTCTCGGCGACGACCTTTACTCCAAGGGAGAGTCATAGTGGTCACTGTGTATACAAATACATAATAATTAGATTAATTAGTATATTTCTCTTATATTTTTGTTATTTATTGTGCTGTCTGTGTAGACTCTTCCAGAAATTTTAATAACTTCTTTCTCTTGACAGTCACAACAAACATCGGCTATTAATGTTGATTAATGAAAGCTTCACAAAAACATTTGTGGAGGTTAGCCCTCAAAGTAACATTTTCGCACTGGGGAACTAAAATACAGTTTTAGTTTAGTAATAATCTAATATGCTTAGTATGATTCAAGGAGTATTTATTATTTATTTATTTATACTTTATTGTACACCAAAAATAAAAATATATAAAAAGCAAATGTACAAATGAATATAAAAGGAAGTACAATAGGCGGTCTTATCGCTCGGAAAGCGATATCTTCCAGACAACCATTGCGAAAAGAATACTTGCTAATGAGACATAAAGAAGAGAGCAGAGGGAAGTGTACATGAATCACCTATGAACATCGGATGAAGACATTTATACATCAATGAGATAGTCAAAGATTTCGGTAAAAATAGGAAAGGAAAAAAGAAAGCATGAGTTCATAGTTCCAAGTAATGAGCTTTTAATAGGTTTTTAAAAGAAAGAAGTCAGTAAACTTGTCGAATGTGAAGGGGCAAAGAATTCCACAAACGCACAGCTGTCACTGTAAAAGATTTTTTGAAGAAGGAAGAGGAATGTACAGGAGTTTGGAGGGAGAGATTGGCAGAAGAACGAAGGGACCTTTCATGGGACAAGGAAAGATACTCGAAGCGATCTTTTAAGTATTTCGGAGTAGAGGGATTAAACAACGCGCTGTACAAAGCAGAGAGAATATGGGTATTCCTGCGAAGGCGGTTTGGGAGCCACTTCAGCTGTGTAATAAAATCGGAAACATGATCATATTTACGAAGCCCAAATATGAATCGAAGACACAAATTTTGAATCCGCGGAGAAATTGAAAAATTTGAAATTCGGAGTAGTGAGATTCGGTTTGTAGTCAGTTCTGCGTCCTATATTCCTTAAACATGTGCTTAGTGAACGTAAATATTGTGCGGAACATTTACTGTATACAATGATGAATTCGGGTGTTTGGTTTTGGTCCCAAAGAGGATTGATGTAAGGCAGGCGGCTATTTTCGAAATAATAAAAGAAATATATTATGAAGATAGGTTTGCGAAATCGACCAATCCGTGGTATGGCCTCATATTGGACTAGGTCTTAATATCCTCTATTCACGGGCCTCTAGGCCTTTGCCTAGCAGTGGGACATAGTATATAAGCTGTCCCTATGAGTAACCCTAGAGACTTATTCTTATATATATTCTTTCTTTGTCGTGTGGAACAGCTCATAAAACGTGGATTGACAGCTGTTAAGACTAAATATTAAGTATTGGTATTCGGGATTTTTAGTGATGTATGATTTAAGCAGCGGGTTGAATAAAAGATGGAAGAGTGCATATTGATTATGTTCTCATATTTTTTACCTTGTTGCAGTTAAAATTAGTTTTCTTAATATAATTTAATGTTATATATAAAAATGAATTGCTGTTCGTTAGTCTCGCTAAAACTCAAGAACGGCTGGACCGATTTCGCTAATTTTGGTTTTGAAATATTTGTGGCAGACTAGGGAAGATTTAAACGGAGAAATTATGGAAGAATTGCATGGAAAATTAAGATAGCAACAATTTTATTTTCCCATACAAACAACCTGTCAACTATGTCTGTGTAACCTGTCAAAAACTTCCAAATTCCCTAGTACTAATTTACATGTCAAAACAACGTTTGCCGAGTCAGCTAGTTTTAAATAAAAAATAAAAAAAATATTTTAACAACGACTAACTCGGCTATACGTTATAGTGAACACTAAAATGTTAAGAACAAGCTTCCCTCTCATGATTAAATATATATTTGTGTCGAATATCACACCGTGTTGGTGCATTGTCTCGCAGCTATGATAATATTTTATTGTAATTGGTAAAGATAATATGGCAATTAAAGAACCGATATCAGCATATCGTAAAACGTACTATCCATTGCATACACTAAAATAAAAACAGTTTTCAAAAACGTAAAAGATATATAGATACTACCTAAAGTTAAATAAAATCAATATTCAATTGTAATAGGAAATTTATAAATTTCATTGCTTTAATAAAAAATATTTCTGTGATAAATTATGGCAATTCAGTGAAATAAATAATATAAAAACGTTGCAACTTAACTGAATGTGAAATAATACTTAGTTATATATTACTTGTTACCAGGCCATAAAATCTTTATTAAAGAAAAAAGTTATATATTCCCTTTGACTTTTAAAAGAAAAAATATGTACTAACTCTACTGAGGTTGTGTAGTGTATTAGTTCACTTTAATTTGTCGTTAGAGTAGTTACTTATGGGATAAGCGCCATGAATTAAAATCTGTTCATATCGACGTGGGAATAAGATAATGTCGTGTTTGTTTACATATATTACTGAGTAGCTCCAAAGTAAATGAGGTTGCCCAGCCAGTGATTACTGGTATGAATCTAGAACAATATCGATCTTATCAACTAGCGTTTATTCATATCATTGGGAAAGGAGAAGGGAATATTATCCGAGTATATAGGTGGTCTCTGATTCGATATGTATTTCCGGATAATCGAATAAATCATAACAAGGACATAGGTAAATTGTCACAGTTTCTTGTGAAAGCCGCACTATGCCAGTACTTTTATCATTGATGACATTATTTCAATAGTCCCATTATTGAAAATCATAACTGGAAACAACAACAACATGAACACACATAACATGTGCGTTCATGCTATATAGCATTACCTGGTATGCATTTATACGCCACGTAAAGGAAAAAAGGTTTTTAGTTTAAACGAGTGTAAAGTACAAAGTAATTCGTTTTTTGGGAATTAATTTTATATTATTCATAAGAGATATACATAGTTGGTATATTTTTTGCTAATCCATACATAAGTCAAGTATTAACCATTTAATGACATTTGTCGAATACTAATATTATGAAGAAGTATTAATTTCCAAACTTTGTAATGAACATGAACAAAAACGACTATAAGGCAATTATGGGGCTTTAAACGTCAAAAGCAGCGCTACAGATTTGAGCTAAATATATAGTTAAACGCGGCTAATTAAAGTCGAAACATCGAGTTGCCAGCCGAACGATTTTTTAAAAATATCCAAAAATTTAAAACATCTATTTGCTATATATAAACTCTTTGGAGATAAGCTGCCGTGACAAATTGGCGCTCGCAGGAAGCCTAAACATTTTTTAAGGCCGCAGCTAAGCGGTCGGTAACACTGGCGCCGGACCCGGGGTTATCAGGAGACGCGTGCGGGCCGCCACTCGTCGGCGACGGGAGGCACATAAATATAGTGCTATCAAACATTCGACGGTAGTATAGTGTTGCACAGCGTTAAGATGGTCAGGAGCGTGCTACGCGGTGACACTTGCGGGTATTGCAACGCCTGCGTCCGGGTGCGGCTATGCGCGGCGCGGGGCCGCAGTCCGGAGCCCCTGGAGTGCGCCTACAAGCACATTTTGGAGTCCTACGGCGGCGGCGCCCCCTCGGCCAAGGCCCCCGAATCGGCAGAGTCACCGAAGCCGGTGTGCGCGTCGTGTCGGTGGACCTCCGATGCCCAGTTCCCCGAAACGCCGCCGTCTTTGAGCGATCTCAGCACGGAGTGGAGTTCCAGATCCTCGCAGAGGTCGCGCATGCGCCGGCGCAAGAGGTAGGGCCCGTGTGCGTCCACTTTGCAGAATCAATTTGAACGGGCGTATACTCGGCCAGGAGAAGCAGCCACATGATATCAACACTTTGCTAGTCACTACGTAATTGTCTTATTTTGTCATGGTATTACATTGTATTAAATAAATTATTTAAAACAAACAGTCTTTTAGTTTATTAATCCTGTAGAATAATGTATCTACACAATGATTTAATGCATTTATAGGATAATTAAATTTAATGAAATGTTATAATCCCCAAAAAGGTTATATTTTTTTAATATGGCTCTTTGGAAATATCTTCATTCAGGAATATGAAAATTGAAGTAAAATTTTGAACCCTTATATTTTTTGTAATAAGACTGATTTAGACTAAGTGAATTATAATAATTTTTCGTAAGTGGTACACAACCGCGTTATATTCTGTTAAAGGCATAGCCTTCTAAGTTGTTTGATAGGACTTGTAATAGTTAAATTTAAATACCTCCTAGTTATTGCTATATTTAGACCTCTCAAGGAATTATTGTGTAATAACGAAGATCGCAGGGTGAATTTGACGATTTCAATTTCATAAGATAATATTGTGTCGGTTTTTCAAAACTTCGACACAGTTGAAGTTATTTATAATTATCACTATGCAAGATAAGTCAAAAATCATTACTTATTTGCGAGGGACAAGTTTTTTTTATATAAATATATACTGAGCCCATTTCACTGGTTGATTTTATTAAAAAGGTCAAGATAAAACAACGGAGAGACACGGATCACGTTTCCGACACATGATTCATCGCATTTGTACAAATTTCATGTTCCGAATTGTAGACTTAAGGGGCAATGTTCAGAACAGGATTGGTAAGACGAAAATATTGTTGTGACATTTTGCACGTTCTCGGGAATTTATTAGGGTTGCTACAGTCGGAAACCAGCCAGCACTGCTTCCAGTTGTCCGAAGAATTAAATACAAGGTTGACTAAACCTTGTTGGTATCCATAAAATTTACTATGTGTCTTTTGACATCTCAAGTGTTTTTTTAGCAAGTATAAATGAAATCGAGATTTGGCGATCTTAAGGAAATCGTTGCCTGTGAGACGAAATTACTGCAAAAGTCTTTGTCTAGATTTTTTGCGTTTTCAGTCCGCAGACTAAATAAAGCTAGCCATCGGGCTTATTAGGCATATATATTTCATTATAGGTTTGTCCTTTATGACTAAAGATGGTTTTAATTTAAGAACGTCCTATGTATGGACCGAATAATATCAAGACATTGGTAATCGGACTTATTACTTATGACAGTCGTCGTAGATATAGTGGCATATTATTAAAAAAAAATAATTAATACGTTTAATTAGTATGTTTAATTTTAAAAGTAATCTAGAAGATATACCGTATGGAAGAGACAGAAATATCTTTAGGAATTCCTACGCTATAAAAATGTATTCGTCATCTCTAAATCAACTAAAAACTTTTACAATATGTTATTATTTAACAATCTTATATTATTTATCAAATGATATTTTTTGCATTAACATTGCAATATTTTGCTATTTTGCTCAGTGATTTTTTAGTTTGTCAATAGATATCGTACGAATAAACTTTTCATCAAGACTAACAAGACGGGAGCTTAGTTAAGCGGGATTTTTGTTGTGAGGAGCCCAGGCCTATATCCTATATCCTTTTATAAAAGTTGAGAGTTTCTCAGCGCATGTCTCAACATAGGTTGGCACGTCACGGCATCACGTTGGCTTACTATGAAGTTTAGGTATAATAAAAATAAACGTAATAAAGATCTGTAAAATAGCAACCTAAATTCCTTTGAGTAGATCTTAAGGTGGATTTTATTTTTTATTTATTGTTAGTTTATATGTTATGGTTTTTCTGTAATTATAATAAAATGTTTCCACAGGTTAGCTAGACAGATTTGGTGGTTCTAACACTCGGCCAAACTAACTTAAAGATGCGAGTGCGTGGCAATACTCGAATTATGTGTATGTGTTTTCACGAATGGGCAGGTCCGTCCGGGTAAGTACCACGATATCACAGAAGACCGGCATGAAGTGGAATGATATAGCCGGGTTCCTCTTGAGTACAAGGTGGCGACGCATCTGCAATCCTACGGGTGTTGCAATTTTCCATGGGCGGCTGTTATCACTTAACATCATCTAAACCGCCAGCTCGCTTGCCACTTTCTAGACAAAAAATAATTAATTAATAAATTAAAATAAAAAAATTAAATAAATTTAAAATAATTGTTCACTGTATCTATATAATTAAAGTCAAAATATATTTTTGTATACTTACTTAGAGCCGTGATAGCTCAGTGTCCGGGCGCTCGCGTTTATTTCAATATACTCGAACAACCCGAGTTCGATCCCCGGTGCTGGCTCCAATGAAATTGTTAATTTCGAGTGCTGAATTATCTCAGCGGTGAAGGAAATCATCTTGATGAGACCTGCATATTTTCGAAATAATAATAAAAAAAATATTTCGAAGATATGTGAAGTCCGCCAATCCGCAGTGGGGCCGCGTGGTGGACTATGCCCTGACACCTTCTGTACAGAATAGGCCTTTGTCCAGCAGTGAGACATGTATAGGCTGATAATTTACTTTTATTTTTATACTTACTTAATAATCAATAATCGTTTAATGTTTTTTTTTATTTTAAATACACATTCGAGTAGCTGTTTGACAGAGAGAATCAGAATGAGAAAATTCCACTATGACCAGAAGAAACCGAAATGTATAATACTTAGATTTCACGCTGATCTTCTGTAAGGCCGTGGTGCTTCTTCGGACGAGGCTTACCATTCGTGCAAGAAAAGTTACTGAATGGCCTTAGCCTCAGACAAAAACAAAGTTAAAGTATTCGTAGGTAAAAAAGTGATCAAATGGTTTAACCGGGCATAACCTTTATCAAAACGGTAAAAATGATTCTGATTAAGAAAAAAACATGTTTTGGAGTTGATTTATATAGTTTATTAGCGTGATTTACAGTGTTCAGCTACATTTTACAATTTCACATATCTAAAATAGTTACCTTATTTTTGTCGTACTGATTTTTTTTTACGTGGAATAATGTGCGTGTGCACCAAGTATAACTAAATCGTTCATAAATATTACTTAAAAAAATAAAAATTCAGATATGTATTACTTTAGTAGTATTTACAAAATATTTACAATTAAAATTATCTACGGTACAAGTTCGTGTAACAAGCAGGAAGAAGCTGTAACAGATACAACTTATCGCCATGTTTTCTACTAAAACATGATAACTTTTAGATAATATCGAATACACAAAATGGTAGAGTATAGTAACAGGTCATCAAATAAATAATTCGCTAAAAACACTTATGGAACATTTATCTGGTATAATAAATTCTGCAATACAAATAATCAAAGGCAACGTTTATCACTATTTTCCATTGAATGCATTTACGGTGCCAGCGCCTAATTTGTATGAGTATATATTTATTTATTGAGTGATCTTGCATTTTTTCTTAAATGCCAGCACATTTAATTTTCATGGTTAAAATATTTTACGAATACATCCTAATGCTTATAGAGATATTTCTACATTTATTTAGAAATATTTTTTTTGTTTTTATAAACTATTTATGTAGTAACATTAACATTAGGGACAAACGCTTAATTATTAATTATGTAGTAAAATGTCATTATTAAAGGTCTGTCTATGTCCATTTTATTTATTTTTTACATTTTTCGATTCACTCTTATATTCGCTTCAGTCTCTCTGCAATTCAGAACAAGAGAAAATATGATCAAGAAATAACAAACAATATTTAACAAAACATCATCTTAAGCATCGACATACTTAACATGTTTTATAACATTTTAAAGTTACCTAAAGAGTTTTATAACAATTTGCATTTATTTTAAACCTCCTCGGTTCGATAGCATAATAAAGTATAGTAAGCATTATTTTGAAAAGACAAAAAATTAAACAGATCTAATATAATAAATGGTCTTCCACCATAACAAGGTCGGCAAATGTTAACACATGTTAAAGTTTAAATCATTACCACATAGTTTAAGATTATTAGAATCAATAAATTTACTTTTAATTGAAACGTACTATTTAAACTTAAGATTAAATCCAATAAATAGAAAAAAAAACATCAGACTGTCCAGTGTTCCGTTCAGTGTAAGGCGGACATGATGTATGTTATGTTGGGGGCGCTGGTGGTGACTGGGGGAATTGTCGGCAGCAGTGGAGTGGGGTATATCCGGCACGGTGCCCCGGCTGGCGGCCCCAACATGCTCAATAGCAGATACGAGACCAACGAACCAGACAAGAGCCCACCATTGTAAGAGAGCGTCATCATGTTGCCTGTTATTAAGAGAACGAGATTAAGCTAGCAAGTAGTACGGGCAACAGTAGTCAATGAACCTAAATGTAGTCATAGATGTTGACTACATTTAATTTTATCGAGTAAAAGTTTTGAACAAGATTTAAAAACAGATAATAAATACGCACGAGGAAATCAGTCCTACAGAGTTTGTCTAGAAATAACAGGAAAGTCAATGAACTTTATCGTATTTTGTTATTATTTTTAATGTAAGGATTTACATACATGAGCACTTAAATTAGGATTAATTTAAGTGCTCATGTATGTATTCAAGATGAATCTTAAAATGGGATTTTTTCAGATTAATGAATAGATGAAAAGAAAGCCAAACAGGCCGTTCCATCACTAAAAGTGCATCTCTCTCATATTCGAGATTTACACTAAAATTCTTTTTAGTTCGTCACCATCTAGAGACTGAAAAGCCAAACTATGCTGATTTTTGAGGAAATGGATAAGATTATTTATTCCTGTATCTACTGATTGCACAGCGGTTACTAAGAATCAACTAGTTTCATTAAACATCTCACTGAGCCCAATGATATGACTTTGTATCGGTACCCAGCTGCACAACTAGTATTTCTGGACAATTTGAATAGCTGTCACCAGCATTGGTTATTCCCAAATCAGTAGATTGACCATGCTGGGAAGTGGAGCTTTGCTACATTCCTAGACCTCTTCGATCTGGTAAAACAAGCAACTGGGTGCCTGTTGTGGACAGTCACACAGCTTTCTGCTGAATACAGATCCAGATATGTACAGTGTTTCCTCTCTTTTAGCAACTTCTGACCACTGGCGTCTGGCTAAAGTCAGTGGACCGAATGTCAGCTATAGTTCAAAAAGCTTGTGCTACCGAGTTGTCTTCTGTGCTGGGAGCAAACTACAGGAGTTAAAACTCAATTGACGTCCCACATGTCACGTCTGCTCCGCCTCTCATTTGGAACTGGTGAAGTGGCCTATGACCTGGAAGCTAGCTAATCTACAGCAAACAAGCTAAAAAGGGTAGCGGAGCTGACCTTGCCTCCGCAACATTATGAGGTGTATATTGAACAATCACCTCACGGCTCTAGGCCACCTTCGCGGCGACCGCCGATACATATTTCGCCCAAATCGGTTAACGGAGAAACTTCTAGTGTACTCGTATGCCAATCAACTTTGGGGCGAGGCGCTAGAGGACAACGGTAAAGCACTTGACGTCTCAAAGGCTTTGGATAGGTTTTGGCACGTAAGTCTTATTAACAAGCTTCATGCGTACGGCATATCTCCTGGTCTAATCGGTTAGGTGATGGAGTCTCTGAGTGAACGATCTTTTCGAGTCTTGGTCGTTGGCTATTCGTCCAAGCCCATGATGACTAACGCCGGAGTTCGGCAGGAGTCTGATGTTCTCTCCGCAACTCTCTTTTTGCTACATATCAACGAGCTGCTTATCCGGTATCAATGGGTATATATATGACAGTTTGTGGAGAAATACCAATTGAGTATTGGCGCCAGTAAAGATCAAATTCAGTCCGTAGGAAAGGCAATGGGAGAGCGTGTGAATCTGACTTTCCAGGCAGTCACCAAATGGGATTCATTCACCTTGGTTCCTGCTCTCAGGAGTTAGCTTTGAGTGTACCAACCACCTTCAAGTGATTTTACGTGGTTTATTGAGTCTAATGAATTTTAAGTGGTTTATTGAGTCTAAAGCCAAAGCAGCTTGAGGGAAGTTAGGTACCTAGGTTTACTACAAGTTGCATTTTGGTGAGTGTGATTCGAAATTACACGAACAATTTTATCGTCCCCTTTCCATATTCGGATAACAAGACGGTGGCAATGTTTGTTGTTTCATTTCACGCACTCGAACGAAAGCTACAGCTTTTGCCGTATCATTCATTATGCGTACAGAAAATGATTGGAATAATTTGCCGGCGTTTGTGTTTCCGTCCAAATAAAACGTTAATGTCTTCAATTCAATAGTGAATGGGCTTTGATTGAGCTAGTGCGTTTATCATCTACGGCTGCATTCCTAATTTCCCATCAGGTGGGATAGCGGTCAAGCCGTAGCAGACCATTATAAACAAGGAACTTTTAACGCTGCGGGGACTCGAACCTGGGTAACGTGACCAGAGGTTTTACCAACTAAGCTAATCCGCCGATGACATCTACCTACCTTCTTCATTACATTTTTACCAGTGCTTGGCGCCGTCTAGTGTGCATACTTTGTAAGTATAAAATATCGTACAAAGAACATATATTGATAAACATTTGTAAAAAGAGATGTCTGTTGCTCGTATTTTTTTTTTTAATTTAGTAAAATATTAATTAAATTTAGACTTTTAGTTTACTGTAAAGGTACTCGCGGTGTTCTGCTCGGATGTGTATATGGATGATAATTAATTTTAGAAAATCCGTATACCTTCATAATTGTAAAATTGGATAGAACAATTTTTGCCTTTGACGTTTGTCAACTCCAAGAAGATGGTGGAATTGGGTCTAAAAAAAAGGAAACGAATTATTTATGTTTCTAGCTTACCTGCTATTTCCCGATGCTCACGACCAACACGAGATGGCGCTAGAATCATAGGTACAGAGCCAAACAGGCCGTTGGTGAACCCAAGGACTACAGAGAACATAATGGGGTACATCTGTAAGAAAATTTGTATATGATTTTTTATTTTTGGTGTCTAAAAATAGTTATGGACTTTTACAACATTCAGGTCATTTTTCTATATACAATGTAAGTAATTAATTTTACAAATTCTTTAAAAATTGTACGAGACGAGTTCAAAACTCATCTCGTACGAAATCAAAATTAGAAAATTTCTCCTTGTGAATGAATAAACACCGGATAAGATAAAACAAGTTTTAAACCAACATTTTGCTCTATAGTTGTATGCAAATGCAAATTACCGAAATGGAAAATAATACGTACGTCACCAACAATATGTGGAGAATGTCGTGGTGCGGCACATAGCAGTAATAGAGGTACTAATAGCAACCGAAGTCCACTCGCCATCAGAAGCTGACTGCGGCTCCATTCATAAGGCCAAGCAGCGGCTATCTGCAAAAATGTACGGAACATGCATGTCATGTTGAATATGTTACGATATGAAATTATTTTTATATGAAATTTACTATGAAAACTAAACATATTGCTACAGCTAATATTTTAATACAAACATATGGCTCAAACACCATAAGGCTCATAGCATACACTCAATAATTGTTATGACTTGGTTATCTTGACAGCATGATCGTATATTAATAGTCTTTTACTGAGTTGTGATGCTTGTTCGTTGGTGGATACTACTTACATACCATTTGATTAATACCAACCAGGTCTAGAAAAACTTAGCTAAAATTGATGGGCAAAGAAAATATTTCTGTTCTTAATAAATGTATGAGATAAATTTAGGTAACTAGCTTACGCCTGGTTTGTCTTCTTTACCTTTCAATTTTAGCTTCTAAAATTCAGCATACCCTTCACGGATACCCTGAGATGGTAGTTAAATAAGAGAAGAAAAATTAAAGGAAGAGAGTAAAATGTACACAGAAATGTTTATATGAATTGGTGGAATGAGTTTTTGGGATAAATGCTGGTTAATAATGACCTTTACGTAGTGCAAGGACATACATACATAAAAAAGTATGAATAATACCTTCCCAATAAAATCGAAGAAGTTGAATGCAGACATGAGTATAATAGGCATCCAAGATCCGAGGCGACAGGAAGGCACCTCAGAGGCAATACCAGGGTAGAGGCTCAGTGTTGTAAAGTATACCAGTCCGATTGAAACCATGTAGGGGTATATTGCGCGCGCTACCGCCCATCTTGCTAATACACCGCCTAGAATATAGTAATACACGTTTTGAACAAACAAAATTACATTAAATGATAATCTCACTAACAATATGTAACACATCTCGTGTCTAGAGAAGATCTTTTAAATTAAATGAATACATTTAACGTTTCTTTATACATAATTGAAAACATCTGGTATGTGTCTAAAAATATCCATTTCTTCTTTACTAAAAACTACTGAGTGGTACGAGTAGTAATCTATGTGATACACTATGGGTTTGTTTGGACTGGCATAGTGTTGAAACATAAAAAAAAAATGTAATAAGTAAAGAATAAAAATATCACTAATTTCTCAAGAATGTAATCAACGTCATCGCAACATATAATAAACTAGCGGACTTGACAGACGTTTTCCTGTACACACGTCTTAAATCCGAAAATTTCAAACTTTTTGAATAAGTTTCTAATCTAAACGATTCTCGAATCCACTTGAAAACACACAAAAAATTTCATTAAAATCGGTCCAGCCGTTTAGGAGAAGTTCGTGACATACACACGAACAGAAGAATTATATAGATATATAAAGATATACATATAATAAAATTCTAACAGGCCGATGTCTGTACTTAAGAGAAATTTACAAATACTTTATATGAAAGTCATTATAAAGTTAAAAGAAACGGAAACAATTATTTTTATATTATATATTTATATTATAAACAATTATTATAATTTTCGTTTGCTTGTTTGTCAGCCTACGAGTATCTTTTGGTATTTTAATGTTGTATGCACATCATGCAGAAAATACTGCATAAAATTTGATACGGCTTTTACAGTTGTATTTTACAGCTCTTACTTAAAATCTGGTCGTCTCTGGAAAGGCAAAATTACTTAACCGCCAAATAAATGTATGGCGATTAAGTAATTTTGCCTTTCCGGTAACGTGGTATATTTTTCATCTCTGAGACTATGGTTTACGACGCTGTAAAAAGTACCATATCTTTTTGTGATTTTACACTACTTTCACTATTTCGCTTGCTTTACGTTAGCTTTTCTCAGGAGAGTAAGGCATTTTCATGCAGTAAAAGAATTCAGTGTCATAAGCTTTCGGCTCTACAACTTTTTATGTGCTTCGTTGCCCTGTTTTGGCAACTGAGATAAAAAATCAGCCAAGTGCGAGTCGGACTTGCGCACGAAGGGTTCCGTACCATTATCCATTAAAAAAATCATGTCTGTTCGGAACCCTAAAAAGAAACATATTCCATTAAAATTTGTAGAAAACGTAGTCTAATCACCAATTCTTAAGCTATCTCTATGATGATGTATCATTTATCGCTTCTTTGTGTTGTGTTGTTCTGTTCTTTTATTCTTTTGATTTTCCTAAAACCCCTCCTTGGTGCTTCTCTAGGTTACGGAAGCAAATTCCTTTAAACAAATGTCTAGCATAACTGATTAAGGCTGTGCGTTATTTGTCAATGAATATCAAACACAGTATATTTTTATATATGTAGATTAGCCTTTTACATTCAAAGAAAAAAAAAACTTGGAAATTCCAGGTGTACGTTGCCACGGCCTTGGATCTCGGGCTTTTTAATGTATGTAATAAAAAAACAATCCGACGACCTGAATGACGTAGTGGTTAGTGTACCTGCCTCCTGCGCCAGAGGGTGTGGGTTCGATCCCCACTACTTGAAAAATATTGTGTGATGAACATAGTGTTTTTCTAGTGTCTGGGTGTTTATATATCTATAATATGTATTTATTTACCAAAGAAAAGTATGTTTATGTATGTCTATCAGTTTTCTAGTACCCATAGTACAAGCATTGCTTAGTTTGGGACTAGAGAATGTTGTGTAAAAAAAAAAGAACGTGTCCTAAATATTATTATTATTATTATTTATTATTTATTTATCGTAATTAAATGACTAACGGAAAAAGGTTTATAAGATAGTGGTTGGGCTTATTTAAAGTTTTGTAAAAGATAAAAATTGGCCGGTGCGGATAGAATCATAAAACATGCGATTTGGGGTGTTTCAAAATCCATACGGATTTAAATATCCCCACGGATTAAATTATTGGAAAAAGTTAATACATGTGTTTGAGGTATACGTTGTTACAAAGATAGTATACGTTTGAAGCTTCTCCACGACGTTGGTCTCTCGGGTGGTTCAAAGACGACATCTTCCACTTTGTAAGAGGGCCTTGGTGTGCGCAGGACTGCTGAGGGCGATGCCGATGGCTCAGATACGCTGGGCGGTGGTGATGCCAGTGGAGCGGCTGTGACTGGTATGGTTGCCGTCGGAGAGTACACGGGATTTGCGAAGCTGAACGCGTTTTCCCCGTCCACTAAAATTGTATTAAAAAGCATTTTACCATATCAAATATGTTTAAAGCGTGGTTGTTTTGTTGTAAGTGTTCAAATTACGAGCAAGATACGGACTGCTATAATAGCTTGTATTACATACATTTAATTCCGCTATCAATCGACAGGAACTTTTAAAATCATTACCATTGTCAACACCTGTGTGTGATATATTTTCCCTTACCTACTTAATGTTTAATACTGAATAGAGGATACTGTTTATTCATATTAATGATTATAATTATAATTTCAATTTAAATAATTTAATTGACATATGACGATGGATGCAGGTGGCTCAGGATCGTACTTCATGGCAGTCTATGGGGGACGACGATGACTTACTGAGAGTCGCAGTGGAAGCTGAAGCATTACAAAACGCGGGTGCATTGGCAAAGAAAGCCTACAAAGTATAGTCTACATTAGTGATTCAATCCTCTCAAATTGGAAAGATAAAAAAGTTCAGAAAGGTGCAACCGTACGTATTCAGTGAACGCTAACTTCAGGTTAAATTTAACTCATTGAGTCACACAAATGAGGGGCGTACGAATTATCATTTTTGATAAAGAGTTGATACATGGATAAAAACATAATATTTCACCAATGTCAATCAATAGTTTGATGTTGTTGTCAAAGGTTTCCCACATAGTTGTTAATAAGTACAATTTGCTGTAAGTTCTCTTTATGCGTAAAATATTACATTTTTAACACCTATAACAATTAAAATCTATTACAATTAACATAAAAATATCGACGATTCACACTAGTAAAACAAAGTTAGTACCTATATAATATGTTCATTCAAATGTATATCTAATGTGTAAAAACACTTATTATTTAAAAAGTTTTAATTTTTAAATCTTATAAGATTTAGATCCTTGGGATGGATAATTAAATAATTTTGCTATCATAACATAAAAGCTTTTAGAATAAAACGATGTCCTTGATTTATGATTAGGAATTATATTTACTTTATTACGTGTTGTACATTAATGACGTGTGATTTGCAATTCAAATAAATGCAAACAGATCTTCAAAAATATACAAGATCCAATAATGTACATTGGTGGTAGGCTTAGTAAATTATGTTTTAATAATAAAGTTCTACAAGATTTTTCTGTTTAGCATTGCAAATGGCTACAACGCACTTTTTTTGAGAACGGAACGCGGCGATCTAGCCGATAATGGCAGTATTCCCTCTTTGTACAACAACACATTCCCCTTACTACTATAGATTTTAATTTTTAAATACTCGTGTATTGGCAAATATTTTTCTGTAATACATTTAATATAATCAGACTAATTATGTGTAGTAGCTTTAGAAATACTAAGTAACTAGTATTTCTAAAGTAAAAAAAAATCTTGTTATTTATAATACCAAGATCTTTTTAATACCGATGTCAAAGAGTCGACGCAAGGTATTCAGGGTATGCGGTAAGAGCTGCTTAACATAACTGAATTACATACAGAAAAAAGTTTGGAAATTTTTGTCGTCAGATGTTTCGTGTGGAAGGCTTCCAATAAACATGTGTCAGCTCTTCGCATCAACTTGTTTTGTTACATCACGGATTATTAAATAACAGTACTCCGCGCCATAATTATTGAAAGTGAACCATAGTAAGTGAGCCGCAAAGCTTGTACATACTTGCCTCACGCAAATATTTACATCATAATAAGCCGATCGCCCGCTTTTGTAATTTCATAAATCCGCATAAAATAATTTCATCATGGATGCTGATCGGGAAAAATTCCAGATTTGAAAGACATAATATTACTTAACGTTATTAACGCAAATTTCGAGTTTATTTAAGACCGGGATTCATTAAAAAGTTTCAAATAATACTAAATCTAATATGAAAATCTAACCAATTACCTAACTTCTAATTAAATTTAACAATTTTTGGAGTCAGTGCCAAGCCAAGTATCTCTGATCTATGCATACACAAAATCTCTCTACTCTTAAATTATCTTAACTTTTTTACACAATTTACCTGGATTAAATACATAATTAAATATATATAAATATATTTAAACCTATTATGTGTAATATAATTAGTTTAAGAAGCCATTACTAAAGGTTTAATCTCGTTCATAATTATGAAATGTGCAAGTGATTAAACCTTTGCCTACTTATGCTATATTTAAATTTAAATTACAAACATCAATTTATTTACCCGTCCCAGTGTTGGATAGCGCGGGACTTTGCAACTTCAACACGCCAAAAGTACTTTCACCCGCTTCACTCTCCATCTAGAGTAAAGTATAGTTTTTGTTATACGAATATATAAAACCAAATCTAATATAGCCAGCACTTATGCTAATAATTATAGTTTTTTCGCTTTTAAAAACATTGCCCTTACTTTAGGATATCATTATCCTGTGTTGTAAGAACGTTTTACAAACATAAATTTTACGTGGACAAACACCCAGATGCAAACAACTATCTGTGGGTCACACAAATAGTTGTCCCGTGTGGGAATCGAACCCACGACCTCCGACGCCGAAGTTAATACCTTGTCAACCGCGCCACGGAGTCACATAATAAATAGTTTCAAGATGACCGAAAATTTTTAAAATCAAATGCACCAGAAAAAAGGAACTGTGAGCGATGGGGGTGACACAATAAGTGCCGAGTTAAGTCTTGCTCGGGACAGTAACAACGGGAGTGAAACAACTATACCGCACTACTCGCGTTTGAACCCTGGATTATTAAAATGAAGGCAAAGTGTTACATAGAGTTATATTAACTTTACCAGGTCCGAACTTGTTAAATGATGAATTTTCAAACTATACTCAGGAAACAGATAGAAGAAAAACGGAAGATATATTAATCACGCGCACCACTGGTTTAAAGTTACATCCTGATACAACATTGGGATGTGAGTTTATACTAGTGGTGGTTATAATATAGATTGGTTAATTTGGCGTAACGGTAACTATCACACATTCATCGCATATTAAGTTATAAAAAAATAGGTAATGTTTGGAACTTACCAACGTGGCATCTTCGTTAGGATTTAAGTGTAGTTGAATACGCCTTTTGTGTCGTGACTCATTGGTCAGCTTGAGGTAATACTGAACGAGTGGATGTCGCATCATCACATGGTGCAGCATCGAATGACCCAGCAGGATAAGTATAGAGAAGACGAAGAACATGAACGTGCTCCTGCGTGGCTGTCTAAACCCGTATTTCGTGACTATTCGGTCCAGTGACACCCAGAAACCGGCAGCGCCTGTTGAGAATAGAAATCAAATCGTGCTATTTCTTCCCCAAAGGCGCCTGTGTGACATTTTTCTTTCTTCGCGGTAAAAAATAATTCATGCTAGAATCCTAAAATTATGTTTCGTGGTACATCAGTATACTCAAGTAACGCGAATTCAAATCCTGGTTCCAGCACTAATGAATGTATTTAGCACGTGTATGAAACGTCACCATGAATTCTCAAAAAAAAAAATGAAACCTGTTAATCCGCAGAGTGATCGAACTACTCACGTTATTATCATCATTGCCCCATGACAGCGAATATTATACATATTAAAAAACAATGACATTATATTATATGATGTTCCTATACAGCGTGTCGTTACAATCGCGACAATAAATGAACACACGTCTAAAGCTACTTGCCAATAAGCATAAAAAATATAAAACGTTAAAAAAATCCATAAAAAAATATTTTTCAAACAAACTAATTAAAATAAAAAAGAAACAAAATTTGTACCATCCTATACAACTACAACTGACTGATTCATACATTCAGGCACTTTTTCATTTGCCTCAGCGTCGCATTACAAATCTCTCCTTCTAACAGTATGTTTTATCACTTTCAAATTCATTCAACCCATTCATATGCTTTGTGACCTTTAAAAATGAACTTTAGGTTACAGTTTTATACGTAAGTGTGTTCTAAAATTGTTTGTTTTAGAAAATTCAATAACTCGGTAAGTATTGATGTTTAAGGAATGTAAATGATTAATACAATTTTAATAAGTTATCCTCAAAACGTGTTTTGATTTATGGTCGCGTCAGTAGCGACACGCTGTATGTACATCAATGACAGGAATAACTTACAAATTGGATTTAAATCAATGAATTAATGTACTTTTGGTATTACATTTCCTTTCGTTTCATTGTCAGAAGAAAAGTGTAAAAGAAAGCTTTTTTCGTGAACATAAAACTAATACAATAATGACCTACATAATTTATTTACAGGTATTAATTAAAGATACTATGTTAAACGCAAAGCAGGTTGTAGACCTGCTTTGTGTTTAACATAGCATCTATATTTAAAATAATCATATAATATTTAAAATAATACTATTTTGAAAATAAAACACCTATTTATATATAATTATCAGTTATTTGAATATCTTATTTGTAAATATATATATATATATATATATATATATATATATATATATATATATATATATATATTTTAAGGAACTTAACACAGTAGCAAAAATAACTCCAAAAAAACTGTAGAAATGTTATATTCTGATTATAGCTAAATATTAACTGTGTACATCACATAGTCATGAAATTAATGATAATTAAGTCGCAAATTTATTTTAATCACATTTATTGTTCTCGACATTTTATTGCTATCTTAAATAGAAACATCACAAAGTTGTGGACTACTAATTGATATTAATGGATGTGAGTCCAATACTTTAAATAGCTAAATATGCAGCAAAAATTGACGTTCAAAGTTCTTTGAATTCAAATTAACAGAATTATACCGAGAAAATCGTAAATTAGTGAGACCGAATGTTGTACACAACCAATATTTTTTTATTTAAAAAACATATTTCTAGAGCAAAAATCCGTATCAATTACAAAGGTAATATACGCATACGACATTTAAAGGCTCATTAGACCATAAAATCAAATCTATAAATGTCAACACGAAACTGCATTTTATTTTGAAAAGAGTATGCCCTTTGACTTTTGGGACGGTGATAATTCTCAGATGAAGGAAATGATTTTTTTTATTGTTTTCTTGCAAGCAATAAATGGTATTTCTTAGTCCGAAATGAGTTTTTAAGATAATTAATGAATAAAAAGGGACATACTTTCTCCCGCCATAACAGCTTGCGTGTACCTCGGTGGAAGGCAACCAGTGAATCCGTAATAAGATGCCTGTTGTATAGTACAACCGAAAGCAACAACTCCGATGGCGACCAGATTAATTGTATACGAGACATTCGTTGAAAAACCATCCCATCCAATATTGCATATTGCTACAAACAACATTGTTGCTAATGACAGCAATATACCTGAAAAATAAATGAATGTAGTTTTTATATCAATCAATCATTATTAATTTATACAAATAAGATTAATGTTTAACGTTCTGTTGAGTTTTTTTATCCATTAAAAATCAGCCAAATTTGGCAGACAGTGTTATGGGTTTGAATAATTACAATCACGGAATAGGAAAAACTTGTTTTCTTTATTCCGTGGATATAATAAAAGTTTAATACGTCATAAAAATATTTTTTAGACGCCTTTTACAGACAATATTTCCTAACGATTTTTCAGACCTTAGCTCTACTTCTATTTAACAAAAAGTTACATGATAGGTCTTATAATTAATTTGATATCTATAGTTAGATATTATTGATTATCACGATTAGTCATTAGATAAGTCATTGGATCGTTTTATAGTTTTTCGACGGCGTTGAATAATGATTACGGGGAATTAGTTGTGACTTGTGGCTACAAATTTCTGTTCGATGATCGATCGAAGTTTACAAAATTATGTTTATTGACTGATTTATTAACTGTACTAATTTATTCACTGTCGTCAATTTTTAAGGCCAGTTTGGTGGCTTTATATAGGCTTACTCTTTTACAAAGAAATAAATAAAGAAATTTCATCCCATCACATCGAACCTAAATATTTATTGTTTACATTCGATGTGATGTTAAACGCGCTAAAGATGTGAAGAAACATGTTTTGCATAATTTAAGTACCTAAACGACGCGTTGTAACTTTTGAGTGTTTTATTTTTAAATTGATACTATTTGGATCATAGCCTGACTTTTTTTAGGTAAACGGTTAGATGTAGATAAACTTTAAATTTTATTATATTCGACCTTTAAGCGAATATTAATATAATTCTCAATAATTTAAGAGGATAATGGTATGATTCATACTCGATAACTCGATGGTGCCGTTACTAAGCTGTTGGCTCCAGCGTCGAGGGTCGTGGGTTCAATTGCCACACAGGGAAAGTATTTGTTGTGACTCACAAATAATTGTTCCGAATCTGAGTGTTTGTTTCCCAAGGAGGGTTGACGTCAGGCAGGCGGCCGGACGCAAAAAACAGCCAAAACCGCTTATAACATGATTCACTTGTTGCGCCGACCCCGCCTAGGTGGGATGTGGGCAGGAGGATGATGGATAAGTTAATTTCTACATACCGAATGTAATTCTGGTGTTGTAGGTAAACAGGTCCAGCAAAAGGTTATTGATGACGACAGCCACACATGCTGATGCTATGTACACAGTCGACATGTCAAACATTATTGTAGTATTTGGGTAGTGATGCTGAAAGTAGTCAACCGCCATTATGAAGCTGAAATAATCACAATAAATATTGTTAATACATATTATAAGTTTATTATTTATTAAACCGAAAACTGAAATTTTTTTTGGAACTAATGGTAAGAGAAAATTATGTTTTTTTTTATGTTAGAAATTGCCAAGCGAGCAGGCGGTTCACCTGATGGTAAGTAAATACCGCCACTTGACGCCGATCTTCTGTGAGGTCGTGGTAGTTACCCGGACGAGCCTGCCCATGCGTGCAACAGCCGAGGCTGCTGCGTGGCCCTACCACCGTATGTACGATACGGCTAAGATTTTTATGTTTACATACATTTACTGTGTGTTATAAATCAAAACACGTTTTGAAGATAACTTTTTAAAATTCTATTAAACATTCACATTCTTTAAACATCAATATTTAGCGAGTTATAAAATTTTCCAAAACAAAGAATTTTAGAACACTCTTACGTATAAAACTGTAACGTAAAGTTCATTTGTAAAGGTCACAAAGCATATGAATGGGTTGAATGAATTTAAAAGAGACAAAACATACTGTTAGAAGGAGAGGCTTGTAATGCGACGCTGTGGCAAAGAATGAAAAAGTCTCTGAATGTATGAATCAGTCAGTTGTAGTTGTATAGGGTGTTACAAATTTTGTTTCTTTTATATTTAATTAGTTTGTTTGATTTTTTTTTTAATTATGAATTTTTTTAGACCTGTGTTCATTTACTGTCGCGGTTGTAACGACACGCTGTATACAATTGTGCATAAAAACTGTTCGTGTTTCAAAATACAATAAAAATGATTATCGTGAAGTTAAGTAATTTGCGTAGTTTTCAAAAACGTCGACTGCTTTTTATTTAAAATTAAAATTTATATAAATGACAACAAATCAATCCAAACCAATTTTTGATTCTTATCATACACGAAACAATTTAATTATTTTTTAAATTTTTATTCGATAATCTTGTATAGTAGTAAATCTAAAAGCTTACTATATAATATAGTATTATATTAGGTACTTTTGCATCTTCGATCACTATGTGCAGTATTGTCAATGCATGTTCCAGTTTCTAAGCGTGTCGTTTCATGAGTTTTAATTTTAAAGCTATTACTTAATAATATATCAATTAATGCGTTAATTGCTTATTCCACTTTTTTATTATTCGGTGGGCCACGTAGTAGCTTCTGTGGTTGCAGGAATGGGCAGGCTCGTCTGGAAATGCGTCGACTTCTTAGAAGACCGGCATGAAGTACTACACTCTCGTGTTTCGTCTGGTGCATGAGGTAACTGGGGCCCATATTTTCAATGTTATGCCCATATTTTTAATATATGTACGAGGTACAACGTGGCGTGGCGCAGTTGCCAAGGTATTGGCTTCAGCTTCGGGGGACGTGGGTTCAATTTCCACAAGGAACGACGATTTGCATGACCCACAGATTGTGTGGGTGCTTGTCCACGTGAAATTTATGTTTGTAAAACGTCCTTACAACACAGGATAATGTTATCCTAAAGTAAGGATAACGTTTTTTTAAAAGGAACATAATTTCAAAATATTTTACGGAATAATATAGGTTTGAGGTTTCAAATACCAATACTCTACCTTTTCTTAAGCTATTTGCTTCTTTATACATGTTTACCTACTAATGTTACTAAAATAAAAGTCCTTGACTGTCAACTCCGTTTATATTTAGATGAATGAATCAGATTATATAATGCGATTGTCATAGATATCTATAATCCTTTTTATATTAACCAGTTTACCTTAACATGTTTCATGGCATTCTATTTCTTTGTTTTAGGTTTAATGGCGGATATAGTATTTTTTGTAAAACGGGTGTGTTTAAATGCAGCGTTATGCTTGATGTGATTTCTAAGGCATCATGTAGTTCTTTTCGATCGAGCTTATTTTTCCTTGAACATGAGAATTTAAAAAAAACCGCCCAAATGCGAGTCGGACTCGCGCACGAACGGTACGGAATCATTATCTAAAAACGGCAAAACAAATCATGTCTGTTGTACGGGAGCCCCACTTAAATATTTTTTATTCTATTTTTTAGTGTTATTTGGAATAGCGGCAACAGAAATAAATTGTCTGTGAAAATTTCAGCACGGAACCCTAAAAAAGTCATGATTTTAAGAGTGGAAGTATGGACTGAAGCTTTAGCTACCTTGTACCTAAACAGAGAGTGTTAGCCGACCAAGGGAAAGAGGAACTCAAGGAGACCCTTTGGGCTTTAAATGTTATAGCTATTTAACTAGAATCAATGCTTTCCAAGACACTATCATCACTATCATATTCATCTAAGGGAAATAGCGAATAAGCGAAATAGAGAACCTCCTATAGGAATTAGTTAAAAACCTTGGAAAAACTGTTGAATATGTTGAAAGTTATAGAAATTACTTTCAGTTTCATTCATTAGGTTCATTATTTTGGTATGCAGCCGTGATCCAGTGTCCAAGCGCTCGCCTTTAATTTAATATACTCGAGCAACCTGAGTTCGATCCCCGGTGCCGGCACCTATGAAATTGTAATTTCAAGTACTGAGTTATCAGTACTTGAAATTACACGAATTACGTGCTCAGCGGAAGGAAAACATATTTTCGAGATAATAACAAAATGAATTTCGAAGATACGTGAAGTCCGCCAATCCGCTGTGGAGCTGCGTGGTGGACCACGTGGTGGCTGCGTGGCGTGGTGGTTATCAGCAAATAAAGAAACTTATAACTTATGACCATGCCCTCATACTCTCTGTACACAAGAGGCCTTTGACCAGCCGTGGGACTTCCGAGCTTCCGCTTTTACGATAGGGCAGGCTCGTCTAGGGAAGTAACCACCTCACCAGCGCTAAGAAGTAGAAGTAATAATTTTCCGTTTCTTTTCATTCATGAGTAAAGTTACCACACCCAGGTTACCTAGCCGGGGCACGCTTTTAAAGGTAAGCAACGAACATGCAACCGTTCAGGTGCTGATGTCTACATGCTGCAGTGTTCACGTGCGTTAATCTCATATATGTTATTACTAATTATCTACTATTATTACATAGAAAGTTACCTATTGAATGGCAGTAGGAAGGCTGTGCCCGCGACAAACAGCGTAAAATACACGGAGTTGTATCTATCAGGCGGAGGCCCAACGGGCTCGGGCATCGCAGCCAATGGCTCCCCCCTTGCCGCCCTGATTGCGTCGATGCGGGCATACCCTCGACCTAACGTTTCGTTCATTTCCACTCCTTATTTACCGCATATGTTGATAACTTCACAATCCGTCCCTCTTACAACAATCTGTATCACCACTAAAACTTGTTTCGAAACGTCACATGTGAACAAATGAAACGACACTTAAACTGATGCCATTTTGATATCGATTCTAACACAGTGCGGTAACACTACAACTGAAACAAAGTCAATGAAAAAATTCTCATTTTTATCCGTCTGTATTTATTAAGTGTACTTCAAAACAGATCTATATGAATAGTTTGGTATATAATTCATGATCCATAATAAATTTCACTTTATAAGGGTATATGAAGTATAGATTTCAATCGGTAACGCTGCACTTTTTTGTAGAGGTGATTTTAATTTATTTTCTTATGCACATATAAACATTACAAGCACCCGGCTCCTCTTGACAGCGAATTAAAACTCACAGCTTTGTGACGCATGCGCGTCCGACATTGATTTTCAGAGACGGGGCCATACAAGTAACAAAAAGTCCTCTTTTTACCGTAAATTACCGTTTATTTCCATGTTATGAATATAAATATACGAGAACAATTATATACTGAAACTACACAAACCAGAAATATTTCCATACAAATATTTCCGATTACTTACTTATTATCTAGATATTATATATTTAAATTAGTTATACAAATAAAACTGCGTATATCTGAGTGCGAGGAAGACGTTTGGGATTCGATTTAATATTATTCATACAAGGTTAAGGATGTATTACATAACAATATTATATAGTTGTTAATACCTTGGCTCAAAAATTATACTAAATTCTTTGGCAGAGAGTGTGACACCCTCAACAGGATCTTCGGAAGGCGTCGGCTGACCATCTGGGATTTTTAGCCGAAATTTCTGCAGGATATGTGTTAAGAACAGAAACAGCTCGCAACGCGCTAGTCCTTCCCCAATGCACCGTCTTCTTCCTTGTGTAGTTGTTAATATATTGTGTTATTTCTTTTAGTTTACGTTACGTTATTACTTTACATTTAAAGTCAGTCCTACTAATGAAACTAGAAAATAAGGGGTTAATTTTTATTTTTGTATCAATACTAATATAAAAGTAGGGATAGTGGATTTATCACTAGGCACAGGTTGTGTAAAAGCTGAAACGTAGCGTGTAAGGTACTTATAAGGTTTAATTTTTCTTCGGATTATTCATTTGCAAGAAACTCGGTCTCGCATTAGAAGACAGAGTGGCAAACATAAATTATACTTTTTATTATAATTATAGATTGAATTATTTTATCTGCCCAGATTTCGAGACGAGTAGAGTTAGTTAACATATCATGAATAAAGACTTCCTTTGTACAATGTCTTAAATCTTTCTATTTAAATGATCGGGTTTTTTTCCTTTCTAGAAGCATGCCTTTTTTCTCTTCCGGATGTTTTATACATAAAATTTATAATAAAAATAGGTTATACCCGTTAAACCTGTCTATCGAAAAATCAACGGAAATGACAAAGCTCAAATCTGGTGTATTTTCAATTTTGTGTTACCGTAAAGCATGATAAGAACGATTTCATTAACATAAAAGATAAAAGATGAATAAAACATTTTTCAATACGCAAAGGTGACTCCCAATTTAACAGGATGCCACTTTAGCATATTAAAAATGCCATAAATATTTTGAGTACCTATTAGAAATCTGCAGTCTACGTACACTAAAGACGTATATTATTTAATGCATATTATTTACTAGTTTACATAAAATACTTATATTTTTAGAGAACTGTATGGATATACCACATAATTTACAACCTAAACAATTTAAGCAGAATAGTTTAACTAACATTTAGACTCAAACGGCAATCGTAATTTTCAATAATTTTCTTTGTTAAAACCAGAATGTAACAAATGACCTTATTTATTTACTTTGCCGTTTTTTGAAATTCAATCTGAAAAATCTGGGCAACGAGCGCAGACGCCCTAACCGAGATTAGTGGCCTTTTATAAGACACGGTCGGATCCTGGCAGTGCCGGAAATTTTTTGACATTTACTGATTAAACTCGATTTAAATTTCAGCTTGAGTGTAGATTAGCTCTAAAAATACAAATAAAATTATTATAAAAACAATTGAAATATGTTAAAGATTTAACAAAGAAAAGGGCGACGAATAAATTTGCAGACTATAAGGCTTATTCCGGGATTTTGATTTAAGTTTGGTTTTTTAAAAGCTTTTATGATTTATATTAGATTATATAAAAATTACTAGCTGACCCGACAGATGTTGTCCTGTATTAACGATGACAATTTAATTCGAATTGGTATAATTAATAAAAAAAAGTGTGTTTATTATATATATGCTTTATGATATACATTATTCTTGTTTTTTTTTCTTACGCGTATATAAGTTAAAGTACCTGGAGGACCGAGCTTTGCTCGGTTTGTTTTTTTTGGTAAATCGTGTATTTTGGAAATTACATTTAGATACAAATTACTAAGTAATGAAATATGCATAATATGTTTCGATCTTACCGACGTAATAATAAGAAAATATGAACTGGTGTTTTTCACAAAAGAAAGAACTTTAAAAAAAAGGGAATAAAATAACAAAATAACAAATCGACAATAAATAAAAGATAAAGAAAACAATGATCTGGAATCGAAAAAAAAGTAAAAAAATAAGTGTGTAAATGATCGTGATACTAACCACGGCCTTCTGTTTCGTGGCTGTTTGTTAGCGGCCGCCCGATTACCGACCGAGCTATTATAACATTTTTTTTAGTGAAATTTACCGTCGTATTCGAATAATATTTTTCATTCCCTGAAAACTGGGATAAAACGACATTTTCTAAAAATGAAACCTAGTCAGATCGATTTTTCGCCCCCGAATCTACGCAATATTCACCAATAGATAAATAAATAAATAATAAATATTTTGTTATTACCTGTTCCAAAAGGCAATAGCCATTCATCTTGAATCAAATTTCCCTCCTTTGTAAGAAAACGCTCTGGACGAAATATAGTTGGATCCTTCCAATGGCTTCCATTGTGAAGATCGTGAAATGCAAGCAGCAGAAATGTTCCCTAGAAGTGTAAAGATACTAAAAAATTCTATAAACAAGAGCCACACGAAACCTACTATTATTCATGAACGGATCGTCTTCTCTGCAGAAGTACCAAGAGCCTCACGGAAGGTTGGCGTGAAGTATCTATTGTTTTGCGTTTCGCCTGGAGAGTGTGGTTTAAAGGTTGTGACGAGAGAAATCCTACATTTTACCTCCCCCTGAGGAACTTACACGTTCCGACCTGTATGCTGGTTGCACCTGCTGTGCAAATACGACTGAGTGATGCGCTGAAGATACGTCGGCACATTATGGTCAGAGGCTCCCTGATTGTACCCCAAGGCAGTACATTGACGACCCAAGCAGACCACTATGCCACACAACCCTGGATAACTGCCCGGTCGCGGTCTCGGACGCGAAGAATCGCATCCACAGTCCACAGTCGTCCACAGTCTGTAGTAAGCCAAACTGACTGTCCGAGAATTCGAGCCCCACCATCTTGAAATGACGATGAATAATAATTCTTTCGACCTTGCCCATCTCATCTAGCAGACACGGGAGTTAGCGATGTCCATGACCAAAGACTTCTCCCATAAAAACAGAATTAAGGTAATTGACATATCTTTTGGAGTGAATATACAAGTAGGTGTGCATAGTTTGTGATAATCATTATAAGGAACACTTAATGGTTTGCTAAAGCGTTATTTCGTATCAGTATTGACTAAATTTTTAATAATGATCCGCCTTCTTCCCATGCCTTCTTGCCCATAGTTTCTGTTTTATTTGCGCTTTTTCCTTACTTTGTCTACATCTTAAATGCCATCAGTCAAATGTTCAAAAAAAAATAATAAAAATAATCTACATTGCAGTGCTTGTCAAAACATTCGACTATTAAATCGAGCCGCCACCGCATTATCAAGGACATCTTCTAAATAAATTTCGTTGCTGGTTCTACAGATTATTTTTTACTTCGAACTAATAACAAATCTGAATAAAACCTACGATAATAATTTAACAAAAAATAACTCGTATAAATTAGGTTCGTAAACAGTTAAAATAATTCGGTGATAAATGAGTGTTATTATAAGTGAACTCGCGATCTAATTTCGTAGGTTAAAATATCAGTGAGTTTTTTGAAGTCCTTACATGCAACAATATCTATCTCACATCTTTGTGTGGTTTGTCAACAAGCTTACGAGTTGTCCCGTTTTACCTTACGCTTATTTGGACAGTGTCTGTCCTTTAAAAGTCAAATTTTGTGTGTATTAACCGAATGCAATTCGTAAATGACTTAAGAATGTAATAACAATAGTTTTATACCATATAAAACGGCGTATGTTACCTTAGGTATTATATATTTGCCAAGTTTAGCGTTGGCAAGAGCCATATGCGGAATACCCATCGCAGCAATGGTCGAGATACGTAACGTTTCTAACAATACCGCTTCTGTGTATATGAGACTAAAACAGAATAAGAGATTCGCTAAGTTTAGTAAAAGAAAACATAAAAAGAGAAGGAGGCAGCAGCAGTATATGGTAATAGGAGTTTTGTGGATAGCCATTTTAAATTTTAGGTTTCAATATTCTATCTACAGATAGATTTGGTAACTGGAGATAGAATTTTGACGTAAGTATAGAGCACATGTCAAAAACCTATCTATCGTTTTACACCGGTGTGTCTTTTGTTTTAGGTGAGTCAGCAGTCAGAGAATAATAGTTATTTAATAAGTCGTTGTATTTTCACACTGCTATGTCATGCAGAGTTAATATAATTTCAACTTAGCTTGGTTTAATATGTTGAAATATAACTAACAGTGTTTATTGGTGTATACATTGAAAACCGACAAAAAAGAAAAGAAGAAGAAGAACCAAATCTATCTGTAGATAGAATAATGAAACGGGCTGTAAAAGGTCTTATACATATACGTACCTAGCTCGGTCGCTGAGCTTTGGAGGTCGGCAACGACCGATTTGTTTGTCTATCTCCATGTGCAAGCGACCCTGCACTGCTTGATTCCTCACCACATATAACAGTAAAAATACAGCAGTGTTGCTGACCGTTTCAACGCCCGCCTGGAGTAAATCGAGGCAGAGTACTTGTAGTTCCTCATCGGACACTGCAAAAGGGGACTCGGGTAAGAAAGGAATAGGAAAAATCATGTTAAAAACATGAAACAAACAAAATATCCCAAACAAGGCATGAAAAATTTCATAGCAAAAAAATATTTTTTTTTAATTTTTACGTTTTGGAAATAACACTCCACTCCGGCTAAATCCGTTTTCGGAATTAGCGTTTACTGTCTTTAGTCATCGAAGAGTTGATGACAAACGGGGCTTAGACCCGAACTATGGTTCGCATTGCGAATGTGTACCATTAAATAGTTCAGAGATTATAATCGATAATACTTTCCAAAAATAGCATTTTAAGCTTTTCTTTCGTTATTAAAAGTGTGAAGTACCCACATAATTCTGTTTGTAAGCCTGACTCGTAAATTTAATAATGATAGTCTCGTATTCGGACGCAAATACTGGTCATATATTTTTTTTGTAACGTGTGCTTTGCTGTTAGTCCGGCGGCTTTCTCAGCTTGGGCGAATAGTCCTAGCGATAATTATACTGGTCATATCGATCAGAATTTAGAATAAGGGAAATTGATGGGATATCGGACTTTTTGTTCTTAAAGTTGTTGGTGGAATTGGAACTCGGATTAGTTTGCTATGCGAAACAAACTCTATCAACTTCTACATCAAATTCAACTTGATAAGAGTTCATAACATGTTTATAAATACATTGAAAAATAACATGTTTCTAAAGACATCGAAAATTTTTTTGAGAAATGCGAAGCTTTTATATAATTTTTTTAAAAAATTTAATAACAAAACGCATAATTTATACAAACATATTAGGACCGTTGCACTGTGTAAAGAAAATAAGGTGGCCGAAATTCGAACATAATTAATTATCATTTTATTGATTTCATGTATTTTTATGCATAATTAAAATACATATTAGCATTGTGCACTCCTTCTCTATATAAACTACATGTGTGGGAACTTTCATACTCCTCCGTCCGCGAAGTTTTCGTCAAAAGTTTTTGCTTCACGTCTAACGTCTAAGATCTAAGAAATATTAATTGCGTACATGTTTTATCTTCCTGATTGTTCATTTCGATAAGGAGAGCATCAATGACATCTTTTGGGTTTTTAACATCAAGCTGTGTCCGGTGGTCTTCTATCGTCTCCTGAAATGTTGCATAATTATGATTTGGTTTTGTTACATTAAACTCCAATAAAGTCTTATAGGAAGTTTAAGAGTTTTCATAATATGTAATACTATATATAAAAATCGATAAGGACGTAAATTATTGACGGAATTATCTATCAATTTTTTTTTCAAACTATTTCTAAACAATTATTTGACGGTTTGGTTTACAAAACAAAATGAACAATGAAAATGCACTTTGTTGATGCATCAACGATAAAGTTTTTTTTAAGATTAATTCTTAAAAAATCATAGTTACGTAACGAGGTTGTTAATTAATTTATCAAAACGCAATGGTGTTTAATATAAACGATTATTTTACGATTAGATTCTTTAAACAGTAATTCTCACTTCAGGAAATCAACGTAGCAGTGTTCTCACATGTTTTTATTCTCACAACCCATCTGTTGGAGTAAATATTGTTTCATACATCATTGACGTCACAGTTTCAATCACGCACATTTATGTGGCGACTGTGTCCGTGATCTAAATTATTTATCTTACTCGTACGCTCTCAATAAATAGCAGCTAACATTCAGCGAATGTCTCTTATTTTAGGCCCGTTAACGGGATGTTAATTTAAACAACAGACTTATGGTATTGCGAATTATCTAAACATCAACTGACCTAGCGCTACGTCAACGATCGTAGGTCACGACTTTTAACCCCTAGGCCATACACCAATAATATTTCTATTATATTGTGCGTTTATTTATCTAGTGCGGTAAATGCTTCATCAACTGTACTGAACTTCATGTCTAAGATATTTAAACAAAGAATTATGAAGATTGTTGTGATAATACTGTGTACTACTTTACAGCGCCAATTTTTATATGGATAATTATTCAGCTTTGATCTGAAGCCCAGTGTAGAATCATATCATTTATTATACACAGATATGATAGATAGATAGGCTTTAATATGTTTTGAATTTTAATTAATATACTTTGCATTAAAAGCTGACTGATACAACTTTGACCAAATACCGAGATTAATTTCGTCATTAAGAATAATCTTCTTGCGGTATATATTTAATGTATATAAGACCTATACGTTTAACTAAGACAATGCGCATAATTCAATATATCATAAGACATTAAAATCTGTATTAGCAATTATCACATTAATAAATAATTAATTGATACCTAGCACTAATTAAGCTTGCTAATTAATCTTGTGGGAAACACCAACGAATTATGATATATAGTAGATATTATTTACAGATTTAATAACCAAATCTGAATATTTTGGTCATTATAAAATATAAAGGCGACGACGTAGAGAAATATTTTGTGTGAAACTTTACCGCATGGCGTGTCATGCAACTTTTATTATTCATTTTAATAATGTTAGTTAATTTATTATCATCTTTGGATGCTAACCATTACAGAAGCGCGACACAATCTTATCCTTTAAACGAGCAATACTTGTATATATATATATAATCGGAATCTCGGAAACGGCTCCAGCGATTTTCATGAAATTTAGTATGTGCGTAGATTCGGGGGCGAAAAATCGATCTAGCTAGGTTTAATATGAAATGATCTTTTATCCCTGTTTTCAGGGAATGAAAAATATAATTCGAATATGACAGTAAATTTCGAAAGGAAAGGAAGGATCTGGAATCGAACGAATTTATGCCATTAGTCGCTACGACTATCGTCGAATGACTAGATGGGGGTCGGACGATCCCGCCTATTGATATAAGCGGGAACCACCGGGTTAAGAACAGAAGACAGACAATTGCGAGATATTGTCTTGTATCTTGTATTAACTGATGTTTGTGCTTTCAGTCCAGAGACTATTAAAGCTTCATCTGACGCAGAACCGGTGGGCTAGCCAGAACCCACGAGTTTGGGCCCTCCGCTGTGGGTAGTGCCGCGCATGTGCTCATGCGTGCGTTTAACTACGGCATGTCATCTAAGGGCCATCGAAGTAGCGGTGCGAACCGAGACCCCGATGGCCGTCGACTGTGTTTTTAGCTAATCGGTGGCTGGGGGCGGTGAGAACCGCCCTGGAACGCGGGTGTACCTTGTGTACGCGTTGTGTTGGTCTCGCCGTGCTCGGAGGCGAGGGCGAACTAATGTGTTTGTTGCTATACTAACTGTGTGTGTAGTGTTATCCGGCGGGACCTCCGACGGTGGGTCCGACGTACCTAAGTCCCCTTTCTCGACCGGGTCGATGAGGACGTTTCGCGGGCGACGCTTGTTGACGCTCGCGTTTAGATCGGGTTGGTAATTTGCTGCGCTTACCACCAGAGGGTTGGGATGATGTTCGGCTCTATCGAAAAACCGTTGGGCAGGTCTTTGAAAAATTCGCGAATCATCGGGAGTCTGCAATCACTGTGCAGGTCGACGTTGCGTTGATACCACTGCGCACCGGTTGCGCGGCGGATGAACTTATTTTGCACTACTTGCAACTTGTGCAAACGAGTAGGGTGCGTGTGGGCGAAAATCATGCATGCGTAGGACATGATTGGCCGTACGCAAGCTTTGTATAAAAGTAATTTGTGTCTTAAGGACATTTTACTTGACTGGTTAGTTAAAGTGCTTAGCCGGCCGGAGACGAACGCGGCTCTGTTACGGACGTTATTAATATGCGCTGTGAATGACATACGCGAGTCGAAAGTGACTCCTAAATATTTTACCTCTTTTCTCCCAGGGGAGCGGTTGGCCATAAAGAGATATTTGCCCTAGCTTTCTGCATTGGCGACGACCTTTATAAAGATGTGACGGGTAAGTGCTTCGTGTGAAGTGAATCGCCACACTCTTTTCGGGATTTACTTCAATTCTCCATTTGCGGAACCAATCGCCGAGGCGGTTGGCGGCGCTTTGGAGTCGAGTGGTTAGTTGACTAAGGTTGCGGTCTGAATAAAAGAGCGCCATGTCATCCGCGAAAAGCGCGAGATTAACGTGGGGGTCTTTTGGCATATCGCTCGTGTAGAGCGTAAAAAGTAAGGGTGAGAGGCAGGAGCCTTGTGGAACGCCCGCCGTGAGGCGGCGGCTTGTGGAGAGGGCACCTTCAACTCGATATCGAAAGGAACGGTTCGACAAGAAGGCCTGAATGGTGTGTACAAGCCTGTCTGGCACTTTGAGTGAGAACAGCTTGTAAATCAAGCCGTTGTGTCAGACTTTGTCGAATGCCTTTGCGACATCGAAGAAAAGAGCCCCCGTGCTAATATGTTTAGGGTTATTTAGGCCTTTTAGGATATGTTCCGTTAGGCGGTATAATTGATCGGGACAGGAATGTCTTGCTCGAAAGCCGAATTGTTCCGCCGGCAGAAGGCCATTGGAAAACACGTGGTCTTTGAGCCTGTTTAATAGAAGCCGCTCGTAAAGCTTCCCCAGGCAACTGAGGAGGCTGATGGGACGATAACTAGAGGGCTGATTGGCTGGTTTATTCGGCTTGCGAATGCCGATAACCGTGGCTTCTTTCCAGTCGTCCGGAAAGGAACAACTGGAGAGTAAAGTGTTGTAAATGGTCGCCAGTAAACAGATAAGTGGGCCAGGGAGAGCTTTAAGGATTTTATTACTAATATTGTCTGGGCCCGGGGCGGATTTGGGTTTTAAATTTTTGATAATATCGTGGACCTCTTCGGGGGTCACTGAGTTTAATGGATCGCCTTCCGGTGGAAGCGCAGCCCTAGTTTCGATAACGCGGTCCACCTCCGTTAGGTGGGCTGTGTCGATGTGTTCGCGCGATGGCGTACATTGCTGCTCTAAGTTGTCCGCAAGGCATTCGGCTTTTTCGGAGTCATCTAGGGCTAATGAAGTGCTATTAGGCATTGCTAACGGCGGTAGGGATTCGCGGGGCTCTGCTTTCAGACTGCGGGCCAACCGCCAGTAGGCGGTGTGCGATGGCTCGATATCCTCTAGTAGAGTGTCCCACTCGGTATGTCGGTGTTCCGATACGCGATCTTTAACTTCTAGCTGAAGGCGTCGAAGTAGGGTTCGGTCTTTTATCCCTGTTTTCAGGGAATGAAAAATATAATTCGAATATGACAGTAAATTTCGAAAGGAAAGGAAGGATCTGGAATCGAACGAATTTATGCCATTAGTCGCTACGACTATCGTCGAATGACTAGATGGGGGTCGGGCGATCCCGCCTATTGATATAAGCGGGAACCACCGGGTTAAGAACAGAAGACAGACCAATTGCATTCGAGATATTTTTATTAAATTGACAACACTACACAGGGGCCTCACCGCCCGGCTACCGCAAGCCCGATGGATCTGTAAAGGCCTCCTTAAGGCCAATAGTGGATGATCCAGGCAAAAAAAGGGATATTTCATTATGATTGTTTTGAAGTTTTGTCACGTTATTCATATTTGACAGATTACTAAAAGGATATTTATCGATTAAGTTCATGATGTTAGTTTTATGTAACCGACTAACTTCATGTTTCGATTTCATGTCGTCATCATGAAACTGGCATCATAAAACTTCGCTGTCATCATTTTTTTTAACGCAGCAAAAGAAGTATAACTTCCAAAATATGCACATATTACTTACTTTTAATGTGTTACAAAATTTGTTGATTATAAATATCAGCTTTGGATATTCTTACCTTTAGAAAAGCGTGAATGGAATCATTTAGATTCTTCAATTCAGTGTACCCTATGTAATCTGGCATAATATACCTCAGGAATGGTAGAAAATTTAACAGACCCCCGCTCATGTCAACGATTTTGAAAGATTTTGTTATCACATTGCATAATTTTTTTAGACGTTCATCCATAAGATCGTATCTGAAATGAAGGATATATTTTCAATTTAATATTTCACAAATATAAAGTTATTTGACATCGGCCTTAAAATAGTGAGGGAATTTTATTACCACTGCTTTCTACATACTTCGTTGTTCACGCTAGTAATAATTATGGACGACAAAATAATCCAATAAAGTTTACTTTTTAATAAGCTGCGTAATACCAATTAGGTACACGTAAAAATTGTAACAATGAAAGTTCGGATTAACTATCATCATTATATACGAATACGAATATATGTCTATGTACACACGTTTTGTTTATCGCATAGTTTTAATGTAATATCGCCGTACCGTGTTAAATTTGCGCCACGATCGGAGATCGGGATTTGATACGCATTGAGTAGTTTTCGAAGCAATTTGAGTTCGGTGAAACATAATGTTGTAACAAACCAACCTTTTACCCGCGACCAGTCGCCATACAATATTAACGACGCATACGTCAAATAATCTATTAACGCATACTGCTTTACCCTTCTTGTTATCGAGTAGTGTTACTAGAGCCTGGCATTCCTCGCTTATATGCGCCTCCATTGCTTTCGAACCGTACCCGTAATTTTTTAAATACCGCAACACCGCGCGTCTAGTTTTATTCCAAAATGGTCCGTCGGAGAACACTATTCCTAAAATAGATTTAGTTTTTTCAATAATTAGTTTCTTGATGAGATTTTACGTGTGTGGTGAACTGATAGCTTCATGGAGCTGATAGACAAACGGCATTTTTAACAATATGAAAAATAAAACAGCGCGTAAGTTTAAATTAAGCCAGTAACAGATATGATAATAACACACGAGGAATACTGATTTGACTGTAGATATTATATTGAATAAGTCGATACTAACTATATTTTTGATTGAACATTCTACGTACCCAGTTTTTTCCCAAATGACCTCATTAAATAGAAAAAGCCGTCTGGTCTTCCTTCAAAGACTTCTCTAGAAGACACCTCCTTTATGTAGTCTTTCCCTGATACCACCACGACGTTAATGAATCCGAGTTTCAAACCCAATAAATCTCCATAATTCCGCGACCATTTTTGCCATACCTTATGACGGTATTTCAGTTTCTTATGATAATACCAAACGGATATTATATTCCCAACTAGGGGCAACAGCGGTGGGCCTGAAAGAAAAGCAAAATAAAAATGTCAGTTCATTGAAATATATAAATTATTTAGTCCAAAGAGAAGTAAACCTGGAGGATACGACGGCGATCGCTGGAAAGTTGGTTTGAAAAGGTAGAAAATTAAAAAGAAAATTGTGATAACAGCCCACATCACTGCACTGCACCAGTTGGTGTACTGAAAGTTTTTTGCCGTGGGTGGCTAATCTATTTTTTTTTCGAAGCGATACAATCGCAAAAACGTTAAGTAATCACGTCTTGTGTTATTCAAATTAACGAGGAAATAGTTGAACTTTATCTTTACTCTAACAGACAATGCGAGTAAGTATTTATAAAAAGAGTAGTAAAACGAAGGAAGTATACCGTTTATCGATAAAATAATTATATAAATAAAAAAAAATTATAGACGATAGATACAAATTGTTAAAAAATCTACCATCGCTACTTTTTTATTATCTTTATGTGTACCAATTGAAACATTAACTTAAAATAGATTATTTTACATATATTTATATTTTTCAGCTTTATAACGTATTAGAAGAATTATCGTAACCGGTATTATTTTAGTGTTTAATAGAAATGTCGTCGATGAAACTTGTTTTTTATAACAATAAAAATTCTTTTATAAAGGTAAAAAATGTCAGACAGTTTTTTTTAAAGTAAATATAAACCTCCTTTGTTTCATGTAGTCAAAAAGACATAGTATTAACTCTAGAGACATATTAGTATTATGGAAAAGGATAATCTCTCACTATTTATCGAGATTTATACTATTAAATACCTATTCTTATACCATTTACTTAAACGATATAAATGGTGTAATCATAGTTTGTTTCGACGTACAACCAAACAGACAAAGGAGAGTATTGTTTTTCCAGGGCTTTTATGTATGTATATATGTTTTGATGTCTAGTTCTTTGGCACGCTCTTAATTATCTCATGTCATAAATGTTTTTCATAAGTCAGGATAGTGCCCATTGCTTTGACAAAATACTTTTTTCAGCCACTTCCCAAAAGTTCCTTTCCAGCCAGTTCTTTATCCATTAGTTAAACCCATTCACATCCCAATCACTTTCATGCTATCTCTATTTTACATTTTTTTTAATTTCTTTTCGAAAGTTTTAGAAGCCTTGCTTTAAAAGCAAGTTTCTTTGATCAGACTTAAGTGAATATCATGACCCCTTTACGTTCCGGACATAGAACCACAACTGCCTTACCTAAACTTACCGAATAGGAAGATAAAAAAGCGACTATCGACTTCTCGAATGCTTTTAAGCACAGTTGATCATGATGTTCTCTTTTCCATATTAGCTAAATTAGGATTTGCACCCACACCCTTGGATTGGTCGTATCCTATTTTCGCGGGCTTTAGCAGTTTGCCTCCATGGGCCAAGAGTAAAGTCTCGCTTTACGGCTTTCTCCCATGATGTTCTCAGTTTTACTTAACTCAATCACAACCTGCATTATTTGCATCTGTATTTGCTAATGAAACTTTTGATATTTGTAAGCTTTACTTGCGTGTTACTCATGACGCTTTTTTTTTAAAAGCTAGAGAGAGCAACTTTTCATAAAGACATTGGATGTGTTCTCCAGCTAGTATAGATGACCAAGTCACTTTATTATAGTTCTTGTTAATAAAAGCCATAACTCTAGACTAGACTTCTGCTTGTGTAACCAGTATCCAGCTTGACATGTCCCACAACTGCGGAAAGGCCTCCTCTATACAGAGGGTATCAGGTCATAGTCCACCACGCGGCCCCACTGCGGATTGGCGGACTTCACATATCTTCGAAATATTTTTTTCTGTTATTATTTCGAATATATGCAGGTTTCCTCACGATGTTTTCCTTCACCGTGGAAAACGTGATCAGTCAGCATTTAAAGTTAAAAACTTCATTGGTGCCGGCACCGGGGATCGAACTCAGGTTGCTCGAGTGTATTGAATTAAAGGCGAGCGCCCGGCCACTGAGCTTTTACGGCTCTACTGTATATTATAAACTGTATAATCGCCTCAAATGTGTTCTCTTATCTTATTGATCTCACACATCGACTTATCGTGTGTCTAAGGGCCATTATAGTAGCATCGGAACTTTAAGTTTTAGTTAGTTTTATGTGAATAGTGTGTACTATTTAACAAGTCACTAGGAAACCCTACCTCTTTTCATGTCTTTTTCCAACAGTTACTTCCATGTGTCCAAAAAAAATCAATGCTGTTAGGATTGAAATTGTTTGTATGTTATTAAGGATGCGGATGCGCCAAGCATTGCTTGCTCGCATGTAAATAAGCAATTTAGATAAAGGCCGTTTTAGGTCAGTGTGGCAATCAGCCGTTTGGTTTAGTGGCTTAAGCGTCTAGTCGTGTATCCTGAAGAGATAGGTTCGATTCCCACAGCGGCGAAAAGCTTTTCGTACTTTACTTCTAAAGGCTTAGGATGCAGCGCGTATCATTATGTTTACTTTTTAACTGAGTTTGCCTTACGTATGTCATTACTTCCCAGAATTTGACATTCATTACCGAGATATCGAATGGTCATCGAACGGTATATGTTACAGTGCGTATTTTTTCCAAATTCAATGGGTTCGTTTCTTACATTTTCTACAACTCAAGAATTTTAAAGTTTAATTTTTCCTCAAAATCAAACCCGAGGCTTATTTTAGTAAATTTGGCACTAATATTTCTCATATTTTAACGATCCTTCTTATTGGGTATCTATTTTAAGAAAATTCTTTATAAGTTGGTCATTTGACGATGAGAATTAATCGTGTAATACGCTATTAGAGCCAGTAGCGTAAATCAAAGCCAAATATCACCTCTCGTGACGTTTGAGTGTATGTTAATATTTTCAAGTAGATTTCATTTGTTAACTGTTTTACAGTGTAAGTAATTAATATTCCTTCCCCATTTCTTTGTCACATTATTTATAGTTTATAGATAAACAACAACCGCCAAATTTATCAAAATAATTTTACAGATTACATCGTGTTTAACTTTTTACAAAGTTGCAAAATGTCAAATGTTATTATTATTATTACAAAACATCACTGACCGAAGACAGTTAACCAAAATAAAATAAATATAATGTGTTAATCATTATAATAAACATGATTATCGTAAATCTAAAAAGGTTAAATAAACAGATGAAATGTGTAGTCAAGCTTAAGCATTTGGTTGAGAAATATGGTGTAATAAGCGACATTTAAAAACTGTAAGTTAATAAAATCTGTTGTTAAACTAAACATTCGGTTCGCTAACGGCAAATGTCTTAACTGCAAAGTTGTGTACGAAAAACACGTTTATGCGTTGGACTTAATAATGAAAAAATGAGTTTTTTTTTGTTAAAATGTACTTTGCAATAGCGAAGGCTCGAACATAAACTTGTTTTAACTACCAGGCCGAACAAATAATTAAAAAACTATTTTAATACCTAGCCGAGATTGTTGGAATACAGGACTGGAATACAGGTATTATAATTGTAATGTAAACTGTTTATATTACTGTTGTAATACTTTTCTTATGATTTTTTTTATTTGAGTAATTGGAAAAGGAAAAGAACTGGCCGTTCGCTTGATGTTAAGTGATAACCGCCGCCCATTGTCATTTGCAACATCCATAGGGTTTCAAGGTGGCAGCTTTAAATAATGTGGGCCCCGGCTACCTCACTTACCAGAGGAAACGCAGAAGTTGTAACACTTCTATTTTACGCCGGTCTTCTGTGAGGTCATGGTACTTACCCGGACGGACCTGCCCATTCGTGCAACAATGGATACTGTTGTACGGTCCTACCACAAAGAAGGTAATAATATGATGGCGGTGACCCGGTGACTGACGAACCCCTGATTTGAGAATGCTGGTTCGAAACCCAACGAAAGGATAGAAATTACAAATAAGTAATTCCTTTTTGCATATATTATTATAAAAAGACTAAATATTGTATTATCTTTACAAATAATTAACATATTACTATCTTTAATAGGTAGGTGTGAACAAACGCTCTTTTTTCGTTTTCGTTGGAACTTTGGAATTAAAAAAGTTATAAAAACATTGTATATACTGCTCAATAGCTATGTTGTGATCAAATAGTTTTTGAATTTTATGGACACAAACAGACGGAAGCAAAATTTTTATAGGTAAAGATTTTTCTTTTTTTTATATAAGTAGAATAGGCATGCGTTTATTTAGTAGGGATAATGACAATAATATCATTAATGAGAAGGTTTTTTTGGTCGTATATAATAATCGTATAATATTTTTATCTTCACGCTACAATTGCTGCAAAAAAATTATGAAATACTAGCTGTGCCCGCGACTTCGTCCGCGAAGAATTTACAATGAAAAAACAATCTAAAATAAAAGTAGCTTAAGTTACGCCTTATTACATCAGCTATCTGCCAGTGAAAGTCCCGTCCAAATCGGTCCAGCCGTTTCTGAGATTAGCCGGAAATAACAGAATGACAGACAGATAAAAATTGTAAAAAATGTTATTTTGATATATGTTGTATGAGCCCAAGTTCCAAAATGGTTGTCAACGCATCTGTAAACCCTCGGGTGTAGCAGATTTCCATGGGCGGCGGTATTCACTTAACATCAGGTGAACCATCTGCTCGTTTGGCAACTTTTCACACCCATATGCATACATCGTGCATACATCCATATGCATTTAGTATAAAACGGTTATTTTACATGCTTGGGTGCAGAGGACACATGCTACACATGCTAAACATGTGTAGCATGTGTAGCACACACACACACACACACACACACGTGTGTGTGTGTGTGTGTGTGTGTGTGTGTGTGTGTGTGTGTGTGTGTGTGTGTGTGTGTGTGTGTGTGTGTGTGTGTGTGTGTGTGTGTGTGTGTGTGTGTGTGTGTGTATTCTTGCCTAATGCTTGTAAATAAATATTAGGAATACTTTTACGCATGCTGTGAGCTTATGCAAAATAACCTTTGAGAAAATAAGAGCACTGGTCTCAGTCACACAGTTGCCATCGTTGCCACACCGCTCCGTGGACGTTCAATCACCGTATACATCTATGAATTACACGCGACGAAAATGGAATTTCTATAAAGCATATTGTGAATTGCTGTACTCAATAGTGGCATCCTCCGATTGGAGCACTTGTACGGGGCTAGGGACACGGATATGGCTGTGAGTAGTTTTTACAATACTATCTAGGAACTTCTTGATATATGCGTCCCCAGGAAGGAGTTGAAACTGATAACCTCATTATATGATTATACTGAATGATATACACGAGATAAATATAATGAGAAACATCAAATTAAAATCGTTTCTGTTTAAATGGTATAAAAGGACTAATATGATTATGATGAAGGGTTCTCGCCGAATCCCTTAATTACTTTTAATATTTTTAATATTCGCATGGAACATGCGACCTATCCAACACAGAAGAAAACTAAGGGTAATATCAGTCCCTAAGAGTAGTGCAGCATCGCAGGGCAGCGATTAAAGACCGATGGTCGTGGTGTCATACTCAGCAAAAGTTTTAGAATCAGCGATATATCGCTCGGTATTTGGTACAGCATGTGGTTCGCTGATGAATGCGCATCACTGCTACTAACTTATATTTTATTAACTGCGTTAGACCAGCAATCGACTCAGGCATGCAAGTAGACGTCGCATACTTTGACTTTAGAGACGCTTTAGACGCTTTAGGGACGCTTTTTTTGATACGGTCGGCAATGACATTCTATAAAGGAAATTGGCACGGGCAGGATTCGTGCCTCACTTACTTAGGTTCTTAGCGAGCTGTAAGAGGGACAGGCGTCAATATGTGTATTACAAAGGTCATGAATCAGAGCCTTATTTTACACATTGAGACATAAGTCAAGGTAATGATTTAGGCCCGCTAGAATTTCTTTTAATGATATTCTTTTGATGATTCTTTTTATGATAATGATTTACCGGAAGTCATTGAAGAGGGTACATGTTTGTTGTTTTCGGACGATCTTAAGCAATCACTGTGTGTGAGAGATTGCAGAGCGATATAAATGAGGTTGTCGAAAGAATTAGCTTTTTTTCATGCCACAAAAATGATTTTACCGAAGTATACCCCTTTGATTACGTGACCTGTTATCTAAAATGATAAGTATAATATTTTTATTATATTCTTACTTTAGTTAATTGATTACATGGAATTTATAGTTTTAATTATTTGTTTGGATTATTATATAATTTTTATTAACAACATCGTATTGGGTTAGCTTTTAATTATAGTTGTGTGCGGGTGTGAATAAAAATATATAAATATAATATATATAAATAAATAAATAAATGTTATTAGCGCCTCTCATGGACATCTGCAACACCTGAAGGGTTGCAGGGGCGTTGCCAACCATGAAAAAAGTGCGCCGATTTGGGAACAATTTCAAAAAGCGTCATGGGAGTGTGATGTAGCTTGTCGAAAATACAAACTTGAATAACATAATATGAAAAAAAAGTTTTACATCAATCTTAAAAATTAAAATATTATGATAATTAAACTTGGGCTCAATCATATTCACTTGAACATTTCATTACCTTATCTTGTATGTAGTTTGTAAATGTGTAGCACTTTTCACTATCTTTCAGATGTAGAGACAATTTGGAAGTTTTTTAGGAAAATATAGTAAACAGTAGTAAGACAGTAGGTACAATAGATATAGATAGACAGTAGGTATATTTATAATTTCGGCATCGGCATTCAGCTACCGACTCCAAATTTTGTATTTGTATCTATTTATATATATATAAACACATTATTATTTAGGTTTATTTTAACTTAAACACAAATAATCATTTCTTATTGTAAATTCTCATGGAGTCGCCGGTAGTAATTGTAATTTATCCTAATTTTCCAGCGGATTCCCTATTTGAATTTAAATTTCTTATATCAATAAAACGTTGATAAAAAATGTTGAAAATAACAGGTCAGTAACGAAACTATTTCGCTGCTTGTCCCTGCTCTTTATAGCCTTGAAAACAAGTATCTTGAATAATTTTGTCACAAAGAATGATAAGTGACGACCACTGTACAATAACGAAAGAAATGGAAATTCTTATGTATCGAATCAATATTCTAATCAAATCAGAAAGAAAAAGAAAATCATAAATGTCACAAATGAAACTATAAAATGACTTGATAGTGTCACAAATAAACGTTATCAATTTGTTGTTGTTGATAAAAATGATTGTACAAAAGGAATAATAAATCTGATCGAATATGTTTTTTTCAAGCGAAAACAACAATCTGACGACACACCTATTGATGGTATTAAATCATACAATAGCGGTATGGACCGTTCCAACTGATAACGCGTTCAATGTTTGTATCGTCTTGAAATTAAACTAGATATTATAACTGGTCATCGCGCCGGCCAATCACTATAAAACTGTCTGAGAGTCCCGGGCACCTCATTTATTGCTGCGGTATCGCTCGCTATAGACCTATCAATTGACTTTTTATTGTTTTATATTCGATTTGTGCAGTGATGGCTCCAATTAATGCGACTGCGTTGAATGGCAGCAAGGAATTTTCTCCTGCAAAAAAATCCCTACCCGAAGTGGATACAGAAGGTGGCAGTGGCAATGGAAACGGGACGAAAGGGTAAGCTTTTAAAATTACAATGTTACATTTTTTGAAACTTTAAAATTTGAATTATGCAAAAAAAGTTAATGAATAATAACCTTACACAACTACAGCAATCGTTGCATAATTAAGTGGACAGTGGCTTCGAAACTCAACTGAGGTTAATTGGCAACAACTTGTTCATCCTTGAGCCTTTTATTTAAACTTACTGAAGTGAGCGAGTTGTCTGCTTATGAATAAAGATAATGAATTTTAACGTTCTGACAATCGGCATTTTATTCAATGTTTTCCCAGAAACCTCCATGCCGCATACATTTTCCTTATTGTTAACATTATTAATGGAAATGCTTTCCCAGCGGGTATTTGTCACTCTCGAATGAAATAAAGCACTCTTTTTTTTATCTTTTTGTCTTATTGTTTTACTGACTTTTCTTTAGCTTAACTTGCTAATAGGCCATAAAACCAAGAGGCTGGTTGACCGCAAGTTCTGCAAAGTTGTCAATCTACTCGTCTATATCGATGTAAATAAAAAAGTAGTACCAAGTATGTATAACTGGTTCGACGGACATCACATTGTCCGAGCAAAGCATTTCTTGTCGAAAACTGTCTTTGCTATTTAGTTGCGATTCGGTAATACTGGTTACAGTACATATTTTATAACAGATTGACATGTATATTAAACGGCGACTGTTGTTTCAACCATGTCCTGATTGTTTAATTAGCGTAGTGCTTTTTCAGAAGTGACAAATATTGTGTTATTATTGGCCAAATTAAGTTAAAGATATTTATTGAGAACTTCATTATGTTTGATCTGAAGATTGATTTGATGCGCCAGTTGTGGTAATGAATATTATGTCGCTAGAAATATAAATATTACGTCATAATATTTCTTCTTGATAATTTATACAAAATTGTTTTTATTAATTATCACTTACTCCATAACGGGTTGTATAATACCTTAAAATATATAGTTATAAATTAAAGTACGCTAGATAAATAGATGTTAGTAACAGTTTTGAATATTACTTTTAATTTTTTAATTATTTAGCCCATTTTAAAGTACTTTTATCATCATAATACTTGGCTATGCATTTCTTGACATGTGTAGCAAACACATGTGGTGTACGTATAGTACAATAAGAAAATATTTAGGGTCTTAGAAATATAAATAATATTGAAAAGTTTGAAATGATTACCCTAAGTTAACTTTAAAAAGTATGATTACTTTTTTATAGTACTTTTTATAGTAACGACCGAATTTTATTAAATTTGGAAGTATTAATTAAATCTTCATAATGTGACTTTAATTAACATAAGATTTGACTAAAATGGTATTTTTAGAGTTCCGTGCCTTAAAAGGTAAAAAAGGAACCCTTTTAAGATCACTCTCTTGTCCGTCTGTCTCTCCGTGTGTCCGATTTTCTCTGGGATAGGTGGACCTAGCAAGTTGAAATTTATACCAGATACTGAGTTCTATAGTCCCTATTAGGTGCATAAAAGTCAAGTTCCTGAGTCAATACGATAAAAAGACATGGGCAAATTTCGAGTTTCGCGAAAACTCGTAAGTGCCACCTACCTTTCTATTTTTCGGTATATTCCCTTTACTCGTGCTGTAACACCTTGTTTTTAACCAAAATTGACAATTCTAGGTCAACCGAAAGTACGTTATAGGTTTTGGGTCGAAAGTATTATGCATTTTCAACATTCTAGGTACACCCGTTCCTGAGAAAATAGATGGTGATTATTTACCAATTTTATTACGGTGGTATAATGGGTAGGTACCAAACCCTCGGCGTACGAGTTGGACTCGCACTTGACTGTTTTTTTTTAATTAATGTTATTCAAGAAGAAACTGCTGAAAATTAAAAAGTAAGAGCAAGAAAAACAATTTAAAAATAAGAAACGATGACATTTTAATATGAAAAAAACTTATAAATAGCACTATGATTTCATAACTTTCAATCTATCGGCTTCAAAGATGCATTCAATAAAGTTTTGTAGTTTCTGTCAATTGTTAATAAATATTGCACATATTTTTTATTCGCATTATCCACATAAGGATACAAAAGAAGTCAATTAAAATTAAAGAAATTTAGTCGAAATTTCTCGAAATTTTTCGAACGCGAAACAATATATAATATGTATGTATATATCTAATGTGTATTTAATTAATACTGGCGTCGATGTTTTTTTTTTCATTCTTTAACAACTCAAGTATTATCACGTATAACTCTACGTCATGTTTATAAAGCAGAGAGGGTTAAAATATGAAATAATTAGCGACCTTCCATTTAAATTTGCTTTTGTTTTGTTTTTTGTTTTTATTTTGAAAAATATTGCCCTTACTTTAGGATAACATTATCCCGTGTTGTAAGGACGTATTGGACGTAACGTATTTCATTTTTAGCGTATCTTAAGGTCAATAGCTCCTGCTTTTATTATTACTACGATTTTGAGTATAGTTTATAAACTAGTACGGTTAAGATTTCGAGATTTGGATTGGCTCCATGCAGTAAATTCGCTAATAAAATAAGCATTTTTTACAGTGTGGAACAAATCCCGCATTCAGTCTTATTTTTTTGTTTGCACGAACAAAACCGGACACAAAAGAAAAAAGTTTCATTTATACACATCTTTATTCCCGTATAATTATATTATTATTCCTGTAGAAATAGAATTATTGTTTAAGATAGGCAGACAGTCACTTCAATTGAACACCTTTAACTTTAAATAATATTAAAAAAAAATCTTTGCAGGTACTCTTACGAAACACTGTTGGAGACGGCAAATTTCTTACTATCGCGTACATCTATTCGGCCAAGCATCGGTGTCATTTGCGGCTCTGGGATGGGTTCGTATTGGAAACACGGTATATACAGCTTCAGATTATACGTGCTTTTTGAAACGTAAAGATCAAAATTATTCCTTTTTAATCACGATAAATAAGCGATAATAAATAATAATTTATGTCTTCATGTACAACATTTTTATATATTAAACGTAACGTTTAATAGCTATCAGTACATTCACTGCTGTTCTCATAATTGTTTGTGATTTTTTGGTGTTTGTAGGTTGAGTGTTTATTTATCTAGTTATTTTGAAATTCGTTGTTTTTACTATTATTTTCAGTGATATCTGCAAGTTGCATATCACTGATAATAATGGTAAAAGTAAAATAGAAACAATTGTTTGCCGATGGTACGGTCAGGATTCTATTATCCTTACTGTACCGAAGGCCATCAAGGATACACCATACAACATATTAAGAAGACTCGTATGGAGGACGTTGTATGGAAGTTACTGCGGTGAGGGTGATAAATATGTGTAGTTAAATTTTTTATGGTAGTCTCAATACTTTATATAAAGCTTAATTATCTCTTCCTTTTTGAAGAAGGTTAAAAATGTGTTGGTAAAACTGTCCTAAAATTTATCGTCGCTCCTAGAATATTGTTTTTTTAATATGTACAAATTGTATCATTTGTGTTTGTTCATGTCTAAAACTTCTGTAAATCAAACTCAATGATTTAAAGATAAACAAGTAATTGGCCGCCTGCTTTTTATAACGTTGCGCGATAAATTCGTTGTAATGATTATTTCGGTTCGATCATAAACAAAAAAGCTATTATGTTAATTCATCAAAGTACATAATGCATTCGGATTTTTTTGCACAACATAAATGCCCGTTATGAACTCGGTTGGACGCTAAGGACTTTATTGATAAAATTATCGGTAATAATCACGTTATTAAATAAATGAATATAAGTTAGTAAATGTTATTATATTTTTTCATTGCAGGTTCCCTGGCTGAGAATATAACTGATGCGGAGTGCATTCCTTACGAGGAAATACCAAACTTCCCAGTAAGCACTGTTGAGGGTCACCATGGACGGTTAGTTTTCGGCCGACTGGACGGTGTACCGGTAGTAGCTATGCAAGGACGCTTTCATTACTACGAGGGCTACCCGCTATGGAAAGTAAGTCACTGAACGATATTATCAGCAAGTTTTGTGTACTATCATGTTATGCAGAGATAGCGAATAGATTTATGAACGACGGAGGGCTTGGCTCTCTAGTTCAGCAATTGTTGAATGAATCCGTCGAAGGCTGGTGACGCACGCTTTCTCGATAATCGTATTCGATTGAGTGTTTTGGGAAAAAATATTTGGTTTGATTAAATTTGTTTTATTATTTAATCAAAAACAATTTTCCTATTCTATGTATTATTGCAGAGGTTTTTTTTTATATGTAAAGTATAATCTCTATAAATGCTAAGATGAAACTATTATTTCTAACTAAATCATTTTTTTTAATATATGCCGTGATAGTATAGAAAAATATTGATATGCTAAACAAGATGTGAGCTACACATCGGAAGATTTATAAAGCTTCTAGCTTTGTAAATGAATAATTCATTTCACATTCACCAGTAATTAGATTGTTCGTCGCAATTCACAATGTACGATTTTATATACTTGTCTATTAATGTATCAATGACAGCGGAAATATTTGTCGAGAATTGTTTGCTTCGATATTAATTCCACCGTTTACCGTTGGAAATATCTAGATTGGCTGATGCAACTCGTATTCGACCCCCAGCAGGCAGGTTATCTCCTGTCGCGGGCGTCACAATAAGAGGGTAAGCGACGCGTTATGATAAGCAGCTACGTCGCGTTACTAGTAACGGCTTATTGTTTGACAACATTTGTACACTAACGTCAAGATGGATTATTCAATGTCGTTGCCACTCTAGGTCGGATTTTTTTTTATTATTAATCCGTATAGCACTTTTTATTATTATTAGAACATATTATATTTAATCATTTGTAGGGCACTTCGGATTCGGAGAACTGCCATTGCAAAATTAAGTGGAAACGCTTATTGGACAATACTTCATCATCCACGCTCGGTTTTGTATTATTTATAGTATTTACGAATAGTCATTATTAATAAACTAGTTTCCATTTAAGTTTTAATAGGCCTAATTTGTAATAAAAATAGTATAGTTCCTGTTTTGTCTTATACACGTTACGATAACCTTTACCCACACTTGTTTAGCCATACTTGTTTTCCTTCTACAGTGCTGTTTACCCGTTCGAGTCATGAAACTTATTGGAGTGCAGACACTTATAGCGACTAACGCAGCTGGAGGCCTGAACCCTAGTTATAAAATAGGTGATCTAATGATTGTGAAAGATCATATAAATATGATGGGTTTCGCCGGAAACAATCCTTTACACGGCCCAAACGACGAGAGATTCGGACCTCGCTTCCCGCCTATGAACAAGGCCTACAATTACCAGTATAGGAATATTGCAAAGGAGGTAAATTTAACCGTTGTTTATATTTTAAACTATATAACGTACATTTGCCACTCGACTGAAAGCGATCTAGGGACAGCTACCAAACAGAAACCATAGAATCCACGTTCATTAACTATTATGTTTGCTGTTGAGGAGGTGGCAAGCGAGCTTTCGGATCATCTGATGGTAAGTGACAACTGCCGCCCATGGACATTTGCAACACTGATAGGGTTGCAGAAGCGTTGTCACCTCATAATATAATAAAGCTGGCCCCGGCTACTTCAGGCACTACGAAACGCAGAAGTATAACACTTCCAGTTTCCACTTCACGCCGGTCTTTTGTTAGGTCGTGATACTTACCCAGGAGGACCGGCCCATTCGTGCAACAGCGTAGAGTGTTGCGTAGCCCTACCACTGTTTGTATTCGTTCATAGTAATATGTTTATAATGTCGACGGTAGTCAATATTCGGTCTGCCAATATGAGATCTGGACGCCTCGGATGTTTTCTCGCCTTATTATAGGAGGCTCACCTGATGGTTAGTGATTACCGCCGCGCCGATTGAATTTAAAAACCGCAAATGCTAACGGAACAGGTTCGCAAGGAACATCTAAAAAATAAAGATTACATTATAAAAAACTTATTATATATTATTTGCCACAATTAAAACTTAAAAACATCGCGTTACAAAACACAACAACGTTTAATCCGAGATTCATTATCATCACTGGAGCCTCCGGTTATCTCGGGTCATTTGGTGATTGTAATCATGTGGGGGAGCGTGTAACAACAAAAGTAATGATTTAAAAATAGTATGTAAATGCTAATCACACCAAGATGGCGTTGTCTCGTACGCTGTTAAGTAGGAGTTAAGGGATTAAGCTAATTGTATTAGGGATTAAAGAAATCAGCTGACACAAATGGCCATCTATTAACCCACAGGGCTAAAAGTAGCTTAAGTAAATTACTTGGTAATAAATCATTAAACACCATTTAATGGGTTAAAATCAGATATATCAGCTTGGATATTTACTTCATAGATTCCACTGCGCCGTTTCAGGTTTCCAGAATTTCAATTACTATAAGAAATCGCTCTCCCTATGCGGATTGGAGAATGATTTTTTTTTCATTTATTTATCCTTTATTTCAACGTCTTTAATAGTGAATTACCAAGGGTAGGCTTTTATGTCAATCGACCCGGAGCATTAGGAAACATAATATTATCTTGGTAACCTTTTTTTAATAGTTCAATTAACCTAAGGCGCGAAAAGACCATGTTGATCGGGGAAGTACTACAGCCACTCAGAGACTCGAGTGAATTAAGAATGTTGATATTTTCATCACACTTTCAATGGATGAAAACTTGGCGACAAGCTTGTAGAATCTCTGTGGAAGTCCAAAAAACACCGGTACAACGCCAGTCCGTACTTACCAACAGGATGTTCTCCTGCTTGCTCATGTTTTATCTTTATGAAAAAAATAGTATCGTAATAAATATTTAGGCGAGTGATCGGAGAATCACCGAGAACTGTTTTAAATAAAGCCGTACACGTTTTTTTTATTTGTCATTTAAAAATTATTAATCGTATTACCTTATTTGTATTTGGATAAATAAACAAGTAATAGATATTGTTGAAAAATATAATATCAATAAAATGGAAATACCAACACATCTTTTATTATAGTCATTTAAAATTCTTTTACATATTGTTTATAAACTCTATACATTATAGTACATATACATTTAAGCATAACATCGAATTTAAGAATACATTTTTTGTTAACAGTTAGCGAAAGAATTAAACATTGAGAATATCGTGAGAGAAGGAGTGTACACATGCCTCGGTGGGCCAAATTTTGAGACTGTCGCTGAACTTAACATGCTAAAAATGGTTGGCGTTGACGCCGTTGGCATGTCCACTGTGCACGAGGTATGACTTACCTTTTTTTTTGAGATTTTTTTTGAGATATTTTTTTTTTGAGAAAGAAGCAAACATTCACCATTATTTTATGTAAATATCAAACTGAAATTATATTCAAACAGAAAAGTTTTTTATCTCAATTTATCATAGTGAAAAAAAATCATACATTTGTCATACGGATACAAATCTGCAATAAACAAACATTTATAAAATTTATTTTAACATAACTGTGTATTTTTAATATGAAAATTCCTCGAGCACTCGGCGCAGTAAAATTATAAAAAAAAATAACAGAATTTTCTACGATAATGCAAGAGCACTATTTTTTCTAAAATTAAACATTTCTACCGCCTGCTGTTTCTAGGTTATTATAGCGAGGCACTGCGACATGAAGGTATTCGCGCTGTCCTTGATCACGAATGAGTGCGTCACGAGTTACGATCAAGATGATGAAGCCAACCACGAGGAGGTTTTAGATGTCGGAAGAATGAGACAAGACATCCTTCGCAAGTACGTCTCCAGGCTAGTCTCGAAGTTTGCAGAGTTGGAAAATTAGGCTATTCCGTGATAAAAAAAAATGTGACGAACGAGCGCCTGTTGACCTATGACCATGATATGATATACGATGATTCAGATTTATAAACTGTTTCGAGTCTTCGAGAGAATTTAATTAAAATTAAAATTAAAGTAGGATAAATTAAACAGAAATTATTCCGTTGGTTACGGTGGTGGTGGTTTATTCTGCAAACATAAATGCTATCAATCTCATAATTCTATAGGTATAGATATAATATACATCTTTAGCTCTATTAGATATAAATAGTAGCCTCTATCTACATTTTTTAAATGTTATGATAACCTCATAAATAAGTTTAAGTAATAAATATTTATTTTAATGCAAAAGACAAATAGAAATATTGTTATACTTATAGGTAGATTAGTTAGAAACGAATGAAATAAATTGTGTAAATAATTTTTGTTCAAGACAAACTTTTATGCCTTATGGCAATGACTATAAGTATATTATAAGATTTATACTTTTATATTTTTAGCTAAAGAGGAAATTTATAACTGTCGAGAAATGTTTACAAATAAAGCAAATGTGATCAAAAATATCTTATTATCTACTTCTTTTAACACATCTCTACTGAGATTGGTCCTCTCTAGAGAGGACATGTCATCAAACAATATTGTTGTGTTCAATACATAGGCGTATATAACAGGGTGGCCGGGTGGGCCATGCCCACCCCAGAATCGTCTAGTGCCCACTCCAAGATTTTGGGTTAGTGATTCGAAATTTTAGGCTGGATACCTAAGAAATTTCATGAAAAATCATTGAAAACAGTTACTTGTAAATACACACCGTAGTAACTACTAATTAGTTAATACTACTATCTAAAATTAATAAAAATTATTAACGATAACGAACTGTTTTTTTTTCCAAGCATAATGTTCGATTTTTATTTTTGTAGTAAAGGCCCAGACCGACCCTGAAAAATAATTCTAGATACGCCAATGGTTCAATATAACCTTGTTTTAAGCTTTTGAATTTAATTTTTGCATCAAAAGACTATCACCGGTTCACTAATTTAAAGTACATAGTAGTTGTTTGTGGATGTAGGTAATTTAAATAATTATACAGCATGGCGTTACAACTGCGACATTAAATGAACACACTTCTAACGCTACTTGCCAATAATCATAAAAAAATATAAATGTTAAAAAAATCCATAGTTAAAAAATAATGATTTTCATACAAAATAGTTAAATAAAAAAGAAAAATTAAATTGTAACATATACAACTGACTGAATCATACACTCAGGTAGGGGTGATTCATATATTCATACATTCACTTTTTCTGAGAATGGTATCTGAATCAGATTTCGATTTCCAATATCTGATTTCGAAACTATGTATTTGAATATCTAGATATTTTACGTTCGCATATCCATCTTAGATTCATAAATCTAATAATTTAACACTGTTTTAGATACGAATATATCATAGCTTTCATAATTATACGAATATATCATACTTTCAATTTCAATATAATTCGGTATTGTGGGTACTTATTAATATATAATTCTATTACCTATATATCTATTTACTAGGTGTTATATTTCTGTTCATTGTTTAAAGTGGATATTCGCGGTTGAAAGGAAAATTCACAATGTTTTTTTTTTTTTATAAATATTTTAGGATATAATTAAAGAATATATGATAGAAAGATATTATTGATGATTTATTTAGTAAAAGGTTTTAACGCCGGTGAGTCCTACAAGTTTAAGCGTACGTTTAAAAATTCTTAAGGTTTTTTCTTTTTATTACAAAGTTTGGAATATTAACGTTAAAACCTAATATATAATGCAAATATGTGCAAATATGTGTAATCCATACATACATAATCTAATTTTTAGTTGTTAAATTTCCACCAACTATGATCACATAAAATTTAAAATACTTTTGAATTTCTCACCCCACCGTAAACATTAACAGGATGTATATAATATGAATGAAATATTTTCCCTTCATAATATTTCCAGGACTGGCTGCAATATTTTGTACTTATTATAAGTTAAATATTTAATCTTCTTTGTAAGCTGGAAATTGTGCAGGCGTATTTAAAAATTGATCCATTCTATGTACATAATTTTCTAAATATTTACAACTTTACATTATATATTTACAATTATGTGTGGGTAAATAATTACTTAGATCACTCCGGGTTTAAATTCACGTTTAGGAACGTAAGCTGTTTGACTTTATTCGTCGAAAGTCTTGTTCGGCGATCATTAATAATTAACCCTGTCTTACTAAAAATGCGTTCGCATGGTACTGACGACGCCATAATGTTGCCATATCTTCGTACCAACTTAGTCAAATTGGGATACAAAAATCTATGTATTCGCCACCAATTCAAAGGGCAGTTAGATTTGCCATCTCCAGAAAACGCTGGTAAGATGTCATGATTTATATATGTGTCTAGTTCTTTAATTGCTTTGGACAATGGAGTATCTATATTATACTGTTGCCAAACCATATCGTTGAGTATAGTCCAAGGGGAAAATTTATCGGCCATCGCGGGTTCAGGTGATTGATTTTCAATTTTACAAATACCGATAATATGAGTTAGAAGATCTATGACCTTATTGCGAGCCATTCTTGCGTAATTTGCATCTTTGAATACTGCTAGTTTGTAGCGTGGATCTAAAACCGTACACACCGAAAATGTTTCGCTTTTTTCAATATTTTCAAACCTCATTGTAAGGCCCGAGCGTAAACCAAGTATGCAATACTGTGCAGGTTCCGAAAACTCTTCAGATAAAAATTTATCACACGCCTTGGTTAAGCAATGAGTTATCGTTATAACTGATCCAGCTGTCATAAAATGTTCCCCGCTCAAGGATTGGGTAGCATCATCGAAGGGTTTCAAAACTTTGCACAATTCTCCAAAAAGTTTCCATTCCACTTCAGAAATAGCAGGAAGGTTCCTTCTTAAGACAACGACTGTAGATTTTATGTATTGCTCTAATTCCACGAAACGTTGCAACATGTGGAATGTGGAATTCCACCGTGTGGGCACATCTTGTATTAATCGCTTTGGAACACAATACGGAAATTCATTACATTGAGCATTTAATAGTTTTTCTAAAGCTGTACTGTTCGTTTTGAAAAAACGAACGATTTTTCTAACTTTTTCAAATGATTCAATAAATGGTCGTAAAACATCGTGAACTATCAAGTTTAAGGTGTGGCCATAACACCCATAGTGTTTCCAACCTATGTCAGTGACAGCTTTTGAAATATTTGGAGCATTATCAGTCACCACGAAATTTACTTTATCTTTTACAGACCATTCTTCTGTCAACGTTATTAAAGCATGTTGGATATCTTCTGAAGTATGTGAATTTTCGAAATGACAACAATCCAATAACACTGTTTTTAATGTTAGGTCTTCCGTTAGATAATGTCCTGTTACAGCTAAATACGAGTCATTTATCTTAGATGTCCACAAATCAGCTGTTAAGCAAATCTTTTCAATATTAGACGACATGAACTCATTTCTGATCTTTTCTTTTGTTATATTATAAAGATTGGGAATCATAATATGAGATATAGTTTTCGTGCTTGGAAGCTGATAGCCCGGAATCCAACTCGCAAATTTCTTAAAAGCTTTTTCCTCAACAAGTGAAAACGGCTGATAGCTTTTCACAAATAAATCTAAAAGATCACTATCAATTTTCCTTTTAAGTTCGTTACAATTATTTTTTGGTGAATCGTAATCTTCCATTGTAGCCTGGTTTATTACAGTTGATATCGGCGAAAACTTGACATCTTCTGTAATGGTAGACGTAGACGGACCCTCTGTGGTGTCTTGCATTGCAGGTAAAGGGGCAGCTGTCACAGGAACAGATACATAAGTCGAAACCCTTTGCATTCTCGACCTTATTTGCTGCTGTGCCGTTACAACTTGGGTGTATGTATCTAAGTGCATCTTCTTTAGATGTGCTTTTAAATTACCGGTTGATCCCTTGTAGCTATACAGATCACCACAAACACGACATCTAGCTTTTTTATTGGAGCCGTTTATTTTTTCAAAATAGTCCCAAACGACACTGACATTTATTCGCGACATTTTTAATAATCACAATAGAATCAATCTATCACCCGGCACACGATTTTTATAGATATAGATACGAAAACTATATATTGGTACACAGTATCCAAAAATCTCTTACTGGTTCGTTTAAAATCTACGTATTACAATATCTAACATTTTCGATGTACCGAATCCTCGCTCACTCGTTATACTGACACGAATTGCGATATCGTACGCGTCGGCCGCTAGCGTAGCGAGCGACAAAGCGCATGAGATACAAATATTACACTAGTTAGAGCGGTACGGCAAGCAATGCACAATATCAGATTTTTAAACAGGTTTTATGCATAAGTTAAGTAATTTTGAATCTTAACGGCATGCAAAAAAGCTCTGTTTCATTTAACGGCTAAATCATGGTGTCAACGATATTATCATTTATTTAGCCTTGAGCCGTAGCGAGCGACAAAGCACGTAAGATACAAATATTACACTAGTTAGAGCGGTACGGCAAGCAATGCACAATATCAGATTTTTAAACATATTTTATGTAACAAAACTCTGTCTCAGTTAACTACTAATCATGGTAGCAACGATGTTTTTAAATTTTGTTTATTTAGCCTTGAGCTGGAGTGCATTTGCACGTAATAGTTTTAGTTAAATGTGTATATGTATACTGATACTATTTGTGTCGGAATAATTGCGGACGAAAGTTTTGCTTTCTTTGGCGTTCTGAATTTAGAAAAAATTTGTTTTGTTATGGTCGTTGTGGGGTGTTTTATGGACTTTTTAAAGATAGGTATAGTGTAATACAATAAGGAACAAATTAATACTAGTGTACATAATAAAATAGTGTTAAGTACAATATATAATCATGGTTGGCGGGACGTTAACTTAACGTTTAGATTCCAAACTTTTCAATAAAACGAACAAAAAACTTAACTTTAAATTTTTTTAACATAAGCTTGACCTCACTAGTGTTAAAAAGCTTTACTAAATAAATCATCAATAATATCTTTCTATCAAATATTCTTTAATTATATTCCGCTTAGATAAAAAAAGAAAAAACGGAAACATTGTGAATTTCCCATCCAAATGCGGATATCCAAATATATAATATAAATTGAAATAAATACCGAAATAACACCTATTAAATAGATAAATATCCACAATACCGAATTATATTGAAACCTATGATATCGTCGTATCATACATAACCGTGTATATGATTAGATTTATGAATCTAAGATGAATACGCGAACTTAAAATATGGTACTATATTAAAATTCGTAGTTACGAAATCAAATATTAGAAATAGAAATATGATTCAGATAGGACCATTGTCAGAAAAAGTGATATGACCCACCTCTATGCTAAATTGCTAAAGAAACAAAATTGAAAACTAGGTCGATGCCATGAGTAGTAATTAAACGCATTATTAATAATGTACTCTTTGATTATACGAAAATAGAGTATAGAGTGCCATCTCCCATATTATTTTAGTCAACAACGCGGGTTAGCGACATCTATATTTGTGTTCCGAAACATTCGTTCAAGGTCTTTTTACTTTGACGTATTTTGTGGAGGCCGATTAGCTCTCATTGGTAGTTTCCTATAACGCAAGATGGCGTTAGCGACAAATTTGCGACATGTTTGACGCAGTTCCTTATTTCAGTATTATTTTCAAAACTTAAAAATAATAGATAAACTGAATTTACAGAACACATTGTATCGCATATTTAATTATTTTCTGTTCATTTAAATTCTTTTGTTTCCATAGTACATAGAAAATTATACATAGTAAATTCATTTAAATATGCTGAAACTGGGAGGAACGGAACGTATGTTGACAAAGCGGCAGCATCATGGCTATCTGTAGGGATGCCGAAAGTCGAATAAAATGTCGATGTTTATAAAAATATCAAAATCGGCCTCGATATATGGGACTAATTTTAAGTTTTAAAAAATAATTTATTTAGTTTAGTCTGATTAAATAATGAGTAATAGTAGTCTTTAAACCAAATTCACATTATTTAAATGAATGAGAAAGTTTAATTAAACGTTAATTATTTATTAATTTTAATCAAATTTCTTTTAATAATCTTAATTTCTAGTTATGTTATTTATTAAGACCTTAATTGGAAAAAAATAAACAGCTTATTAAGTAAGATAAATTAGTTTTTTTAGCCCAGATTCGAATCAAGAAATAACTAATTGAAAAACATGTAAGTTTTAAAAAAATATAAAGAATTGTTTAATACGAAGTCAATAATGTGTCAAAAGGAAACCCGCAGAGCTTGTCATCAACAGAATTTAGTAATAGTTGTTTGATTGACATAAAATGCTGAACGACAATTTAAAAAGTTACTTATGTGGTGTTAATGATAATAATTTTTATGACATGAAATAACTTTTTATGAAAACTCGATATTACATTAATTGACATTTAATTATTTTTGTTAACTTTATTTACATATTAAATTAAAGTAACTAAAGTTGATATCATTAATATTTTGCATGCTATTTATAAATTAACATAATATGTAGTTTAATATTAACGATTTGTAACACCTCTATTCAATTTAAATTTAAATTGTTTATAGTGCTTATCTTTGCACTTAAGATTTAACATTAAAAATTTAACCTCTATTCAATGTTGTACCTAAGATATGGATAGTATAAAGTACGAAGCATCAAATTGTAGTATTAAATATCATAATTATAGTACAAATTGCAACTCTGCATTAGCGACAATACTAGTAATAGACCACACTTTTTTTCCGTTAATTCTTTTAATCTTTTATGGCTTTGCATTAGTTTGAATAAAAATATCGTTTTTGATACGATTTCGATATTAAATTTTTTATATCGATATATCGATTTTTTTCGGCATCCCTAGCTAACTGTCAATTCCTTCCGTTTATGTTACGCAAAAGGGAGGGGCCCATTCACTATCCTGCCTGGCAGTCCGCCGTGCAGGACACAGAGTACTTTATAATAGACTGAAATAGAGACCTATCTCACCCGTTTAATCTGGTAATGTATACAGCGCCACCTGAATAACCTGGTTGGAACTACTTCCACTACGTCACATTTTTATGACGTCACTACTATATGGTAGTATACTGGTATATTTTTATACTGCGTAATATTTAGTTATATAATAATTTTGAAATAAAACCATTTGTTATAGCAATATTAATTTATTTTTTTCGTTTCATACACTTGTGCAAATATTTCTTAGCTTTTATTTGAAAGTTGTCCTCCTCGTCATCACAGTTCTTTTTACCACCAAGTATTTTATTTAAATTTTTACAGTAGTTATGAATAAAAAATCTACTCGATAAATTTATTATGAAATTGATTAAATTGTTTTTATGTTTATCACATTTTATAAAATTAAAATCAACTGTCATGAAAATAATAGTTTTAATGAAATTTTTAATGTTTTTAATAATCAAATTCCTTTTTAATACTTGATCATAAATATCTTGTAAATTAGAAAAAAGTTCTACCATAAAATTGCTTGGACTACAAAGCCAACGTCGACCTCTATATTTTATGAATTCCACTTCATTTTTATTTAGTAAATTTTCATTGCATTCCTTGCATCCTTTGAAAATTTTTTTTTTACTCTCACATACAATATACCCTGTTACGTAATTTAATGGCCCAATGACATGTGGAATTTTTTGTTTTTCCGTAATTGGCGTAAATTCTATTAAGGGTATTTCTGATATATTGCAAGTCGACATGTCTTTGCAGTCCTCTGTGATAACGAGTGCATATAAGGACTTACAAATATCTTTTTCACAATTTCCTCCAGGAGTGTGGACACTGGACATGTGATTTATTAATAAAGCAGCATATGCTGCTTCAAAATTTTCTACTGTGGGATTGTTATTTCGGCATCCGTGGCTTCTAATAGCCCCAAAGTAATTTTCAATGGGGTCTTGATTTAAATGCCGCATCCACACGGACTTAATACCATATTTAACATCCAATTTTATTAATAAAACTTGGATGCCATCCAGTGTCCACACCCAATTATTAAGTGTTGGTACTGATTCAGTTCTTCCATCTATTCCAATGAACTTCATATTTCTCAAAGATGTCTTGGCTTCAGCCCATATTTGATGATGCGCTGAATGTGGCTTTACTGGTCCCAGGAGTGGTTTTCCATGGCTTCCCCTTCGTCCAAAACTTCCATTTACGGAGTCAAATAAATTGTCAAAGAAGAGGAGCAGGTCTGCTGTTTCTTTGCACTCCATGGGTAGAATTTTCTTGTCTACAAAATTTTATTTATAAGTAGTATTACATCTTAAACATTATGATTATTGTAATGCATTATCTTCACAAAATCTACAACTAAGTATTTAAATATTAAATACTATTTGAAAATGAAACCTCTCAATGTTGTTAAAGTAAATTAATTTGTAAAAGCCTCCAAGCTAAGAATAGCAATCCTTGATAAAAAAATGACATTTACCTGCAAGGTACCCCATAGTGTTGGCAACTGCTTGGCTAAATATCTGACTGGCATATTTCACCTTCATTTTTGGAATTTGGCTTTTCATCACATGCTTGTCAGTGAGCTTCGGTATCAGTCTCATGCCTTTATACCCAGGATTTTCTTTTAACAACAGTTCTAAATGTTTCCATTTTGCTGTTCCAGATGTTTCTTTAATTTTATTTTGTAAATTTTTAGTCAATAAATTGTTTCACATACATTTTAATAAATGAGGTGAGTCATAAAGGGGCACAATTTCATGGTCATTAATAATAATTAAATATTCTTTAGGTTCTTGACCTTTTCTAAGCAATATACCACGTGCTTCTTGTGTAAGCAGTTTTACAGCATGTCTGTTGTTAGTGCCTTGATCGCATATGGTAGCAACAACAATAAGTCCTGCTTTTTGCAATTCACTAATGACATTTTTTATTTGTTTTGCAAGTTCAGGCCCTTTAGTGGCAGAAGCGGAAAAAGTGTATGCTACAGGTTGTTTATAATTTTTTATTAAACCCCTAATCATAAATACTTGGGCATGATCTGCAAAATCAGGTTCTGTTCGTAGCCCGTCAGTAACGAAACCACCAACTTCATCTTTTCTCTCATTATATGACACATGAGCTTTTAGTGCCATTTCATCAAATAATAAGACACATAAACGAGATGCCATTTGCATTTTTTGTGCCTTAACTGAGAGTTGTTTAAATATTTTACTATTAATCCCAGGCTTGATGTTTGCTTGATTTATAAGCTTAACAAGTGTTTGTGGTGTAGGCAGTATTAATAGTTTACTTAAGAACCTATAACCTTTTGGGCTCTGTTTCAATATTGAAAGGGCCAATATCTTTTCACCCAGAGTAAATCGGCGGCCTTTATCTTTTTCTTTATGTTCTCGGAACTGCATCTCAGTTAATATTTTTGCTGCTGTAGGCAATGTTTCCATAATTTTTATGTATTCAGAATTATTAACAACCTTTTTGGCCGCCTTAAGTGATGCAGCTTGCTTCTTCAACTTATTCTGGCATTTACTAAGCTTAATTTTCATCAATTTTAGTTTTTGGCAAAACTTTACCTCAGCAGATGTCATATATTTAACCTTTTTTCTAGCAATAAAGCCCATACTTTTACTTTTACAGCATTCTGTAAATATGAAAAATAAATTTGAAAATTGAAACATTATTTGTAAAATACTTAAAGTTGTCAGTATCATTTTAAGTGTTCTCTCGATTTAACACAATTAATAAAAATACATATTGATATTTAAACAATATATGTATAAATTATAAGTTTTAAGAACTAAATTTAAAATTTTTTATAGTGCTAATCTCTGCACTTAAGATTGATTTTAAGAACTAAGTAAATTAAATACTTAGTTGTAGATTTAAAAAAAAAATAAAGTGGGGCCACGTGGTGGACTATGCCCTAATACCCTCTGTACAGAGGAGGCCTTTGCTCAGCAGTAGGACATATATAGGCTGATACTTTACTTTTTTTTCATAATTAAATTACATAATAAAATATGTCTTGTATCAAACATACAGAAACAAAACAAACACTTTCATATTCATAGACACAAAAACACATAAATGTTTGTATTAGCCACAATTTAAACCCTGGGAATTTACTTTAAAAACAGGGACACCATCAAATGTGGGAATGAATTCCAGAGAGTTCACATTTCTGCTAACCTGGCAAAGACATTTGAAAATAAATCTAAGGTAATATATCATCTACACATACCTTCTGAGGTTGATGATAACTCCGAAACATTTTGGATTTGTGTCATCACCACATTGTCATAACTCTTGGCAAGAGCTCTGGTTGTAAAGGCTAAAACATTTTTTTGATAACATGATAAAAATGTGATTACGACATGACGACTTCTAGAATAATCTACAAGTAAGCACATACCTTTTGAGGTGGATGGTATTTCAGAAATATTTTGAATAGATTTTAGTGGTCCTCGTTCAAAGGATTTGAACTTAGGAAGAGATGTGGGACCTGAAACACAAAAATACATATGCTTTATATATATACTTAAAAGTATATTATAATGCTATTAGGATAAGAAATATTTCTTATTTTCTTATCATAACAACATTAAGCATGGTAGGGGTTATTACCGGAAGACGGGCATGAAGTGGAAGTGTTACACTTCTGCATTTTGTCTGGTAGGTGAGGTAGCCGGGGCCCACTTCATTAATGCAATGCAACCCCAGAGGGGTTGCAAATGTCCAAGGGCAATGGTTAACATTTAACATCAGGTGAATGGCCAGCTTCTTTGACACAATATATATATATATATATACACAAAAGTATATAAACAACATTGATACACATATTAGTAAATATAAGTGTACATACTAACCTGGTAAATTTAAAGTTGGTACAGCCATTCTGCTAATTATATTACAATAGAAGATATATTTTCCTTCAAAATGTCCATGACAAACACGGCGATATTTGTGGATATATTTATTATTCAATCCCAATATGTCACCTCCAATTGACATCACCCAAGAATTGAACCTTTCCCTTTCCTTATCAGGATTTGGAAATCCATGCAGGATTTTGTGTGACTCTGAAGGAAAAGTAAAATCATTATAGCTATCATATCTCTTTTGTCAGGTCTAATAAAACATTTATTTGAATTAAAATTGTACATCATCAAAATATATTACGTATTATAATGTGACGTTTTTTTTCATAGCCTTCTGATAGACCTGTTCACAAAAACTTTATCCACTATATTGGTGAATAGTTTTGTGAATTGAAATAAGCTAATTATTCATTTTTTTAAATATGGTTGTTGATAAATGTCACAGTGAGAAGAACTAGAAAACTGAATATTAAGCACATTTTTCTAAATCCTCCAACCAAATTCCAAAATTCTTTAAAAGATGAAATTCATCTTTTTAAGAATTTGGTATTATTATTGTATTGTTAGAACTTACTTCCACTTTCCACACATCCAGGGACACAACACACTTTATCAGAGCTAGACATGATTGATGAGTCCTTTCTCAATATCAATATTTAATAAATTTCACTTAGTATCCTGCACAATACAGAAATTTCACCAGGCCCGAGGAGCAAGCTCTAACTCAAGGCCGTGGAGAAAAGAAAGCACAAAGTGAAAAATAACTGGCTGTGTGAGTAAAATGAATTTGATGAAGATCAAACCAAATACAAAACACAAACAACTGTCTAGTGTAAACTTGGTATCGTCGATAGTGTTATCATTCTCATTTAAAACAACTCCAAATTTAAGAAAAATGTATTACATTGGTTGATTTTTAATTTAGTAGCGTAATAATGTTATATTAGTACCACATATGATTTAAAGGTGTCGCTTTTAGTTCGTTTCATACGCACTAGATGTCTCTGTCACTAATTTATTCCCCAGTAAGCCGTGCCGTGGCCATGTGTTAATTTTTCAATTTCAGTTGACTAGTGAGTTGAGAGGTCCTGGTGCAGGACTAAGCCCACTTCCCCTGCCCAAAGCAGGATGAAGCCCACACACTATCCTGCAAGCCGTCCATCATAGTGTCAGTGTTATTGTTGTAATAATTATGGGTTTACGTGAGGTATCGAAAAAAAAAAGAAAATAGCTATTAAATGAAACTACTTTACGGATTTTATCGCGTTTTTTATTTTAATTTAAATTCCCGACGTTTCGAACCCTTTCCAGCGTTCATGGTCACGCGACAGACTAAGTTGTTATACGTCTTGATGTCATAGTTAACCCCGGCTACCGTCAATTATTTTGTTTATTTTTATTCCGATCCACGCAGAAGGAGCTTATGGTATCTTGAGGTCTGGCAGTGTTGGTGTGCTTGGATTTAATTTTATAAATTATGGGATCCCAAGCAGATGATAAACTCCAACCATCTTCTCTATTGAAATTAGGATGTTTCTTTATTTCAATAGCCTCGCGGATCATCCTTGGAAGGAATCGGTGTTCTTTTGCGAGGATTTTCGGTTGATCAAATCTAATGTAGTGGTTGGGGCGGTCTAAAATATGATCACAAACTGCAGACTTCTTTAACCGTCGGTGCTTCACGTCAGCTATGTGTTCTTTAATTCTGGTTTTAATTGATCGTTTTGTTTGTCCTATGTAAGAGAGCCCACAATCGCAGTCAAGCTTGTACACTCCTGGATCTTGTAGAGGGATATTACACTTGACAGATGGTAAAAATCGACTTATCTTCTTCGGTGGCTTGAAATATGTTTTAATTGAAGCACGCTTCAAGATATAGCCAATCTTGTCAGTGACTCCTCTGACATATGTCAATACAGCAGGCACTCGCTCGACTGTGGCCGGTTTCACTCGGTCACTGTGACGCAGGCGCGGGATTTGGAGCTTGTTGTCACGCAGCACTTGCTTGACATTGTGTAGCTCAGCGGCCAGGTGTTCCTAGTCACAGATCCCTCGTGCTCTCTGTAACAAACATTTACCAACAGTAGCTAACTGTGAAGGGTGGTGGTGAGAATCACCATTTAAATATTTATTTGTATGGGTCTCCTTTCTATACACAGTATGGCTCAAGGTGTTGTCAAGATTTCGGATGACTAATACATCTAAAAAGGCTAAGGAGTTACATGTCTCTAATTCCATAGTGAATGTAATTTTAGTGTGTAAGGAATTGAGGTGGTTTAGAAATGCATTTACTTTGTCTGATGGTAAAATCACTTAGCTTAGTGCGTCTTTTTTTCGTCATATGGCAGCACTGCCGCTATGCAGGACGGCCAAACCACTGCTGCTCCTGCGCGGCGGACTGCAAGCGGTGGACGGAGCTCAGGTCCCTTGCAAGATGCAAGGCGCGTCGTGCTCGGTGTTGCCAGAAACTTTGCAGGCCTGCAACACCATTCACAATCCTGCATAAAGCGGCGGACTGCCAGGCAGGATAGTGAAAGGGGCCCCCTTTAAGTACCAATGCAGTTCAATGCACTCCAGCTCAAGGCTAAATATAAAGACATCGTTAATACCATGATTCGTATTTAAATTAAACAGAGTTTTTTTCCATGCTGTTAAGATTTAAAATTACTTAACTTATTCATAAAATCTGTTTGAAAATCTGATTTTGTTGCCGTACTGCTCTAACTAATGTAAAATTTGTATCTCACGCGCTTTGTCGCTCGAAATCTGTTTAAAATCTGATATTGTTGCCGTACTGCTCTAACTAGTGAATATTTGTATCTCACGCGCTTTGTCTAAAAATCTGATATTGTGGCAAACGCGTATGATATCGCGATTCATGTTCTTCTTGTATCTTGTATTAACTGATGTTTTTGCTTTCAGTCCCGAGACTATTAAAGCTTCATCTGACGCAAAACCGGTGGGCTAGCCAGAACCCACAGGTTTGGGCCCTCCGCTGTGGGTAGGGCCGCGCATGTGCTCATGTGTGCGTTTAAGTATGGTGTGTCATCTAAGGACCATCGAGGTCGCGGTTCGGACCGAAACCCCGATGACCGTCGACTGTGCAATTAGCTAATCGGTGGCTGGGAGCGGTGAGAACCGCCCCGGAACGCGGGTGTACCTTGTGTACGCGTTGTGTTGGTCTCGCCGTGCTCGGAATCGAGGGCGAACTAGTGCGTTTGTTGTTGCACTAACTGTGGGTGTAGTGTTATCTGGCGGGACCCCTGGCGGTGGGTTCGGTGTATCTAAATCGACTTCCTCGAGCGGGTCGATTAGGACGTTTCGCGGACGACGCTTGTTGACGTTCGCGTTTGTGTCGGGTTGGTAATTTGCTGCGCTTACCACCAGATGGTTGGGATGATGTTCGGCTCTATCGAAGAACCGTTTGGTCAGGTCTCTAAAAAAATATTCGCGAATCGTCGGGAGTCTGCAATTGCTGTGCAGTTCGACGTTGCGTCAATACCACTACGCACCGGTTGCGCGGCGGATGATCTTATTTTGTACTATTTGCAACTTGTACAAGCGAGTAGGGTGCGTGTGGGCGAAGGTCATGCATGCGTAAGACATAATAGGTCGTACGCAGGTCTTATATAATAACAATTTGTGCCTTGGGCATTTTACTTTCGTTAGTTAAATTGTGTAGCCGGCCGGAGAACGCGGCTCTATTGCGAACGTTATTAATATGCGTAGTAAATGACATACGTGAATCAAAAGTGACTCCTAAGTATTCAACCTTTTTCTCCCAGGGGAGTGGTTGGCCATAAAGGGATATTTGCCCCAACTTTCTGCATTGACGAGGGCCATTATAAAGATGTGACGGGTAAGTACTTCGTGTGAAGTGTATCGCCACACTCTTTTCGGGATTTATTTCTATTCTCCATTTGCGGAACCAATCGCCGAGGCGGTCGGCGGCGCTTTGGAGTCGAGTGGTTAGTTGACTAAGGGTTGCGATCTGAATAAAAGAGCGCCGTGTCATCCGCGAAAAGCGCGAGATTAACGTGGGGGTCTTTATGAATATCGCTCGTGTAGGACGTAAAGAGCAAAGGTGAGAAGCACGCAGCAAGCTTGTGGTACGCCGGCCGTAAGGCGGCGGCTTGTGGAGAGGGTGCCTTCAACTCGATATCGAAAAGAGCGGTTCGACAGGAAGGCCCGGATGGTGTGTACGAGCCTATCTGGCACTTTGAGTGTGTACAGCTTGTAAAGCTAGCCGTTATGCAAGACCTTTTCGAATGCTTTTGCGACATCCAAGAAAAGAGCCCCTGTACTAATATGTTTAGGGTGATTTAAGCCTTTTAGGATATGTTCTGTTAGGTGGAATAGTCGATCGGGACAGGAATGTTTGGCTCGAAAGCCGAATTGTTCCGCCGGCAGAAGGCCGTTGGAAAACACGTGCTCTTTGAGCCTCTTTAATAGAAGCCGCTCGTAGAGCTTCCCCAGGCAACTGAGGAGGCTGATGGGACGATAACTAGAGGACGGGTTGGCTGGTTTATTCGGCTTGCGAATGCCGATAACCGTGGCTTCTTTCCAGTCGTCCGGAAAGGAGCAACTGGAGAGTAAAGTATTGAAAATGGTCGCCAGTAAACAGATAAGCGGCCCAGGGAGAGCTTTGAGAATTTTGTTACTAATATTATCTGGGCCCGGGGCGGATTTCGGTTTTAAATTTTTAATAATGTTTTGGACCTCTTCGGGGGTCACTGAACTCAAAGGATCGCCTTCCGGTGGAAGCGCAGCCCTAATATCGATTACGCGGTGCACCTCCGTTAGGTGGGCCGTATCGGTGTGTTCGCGCGATGGCGTACATTGCTGCTCTAGGTTGTCCGCAAGACATTCGGCTTTTTCGAACCCACCCAGGGGAGTTATTTTGTAACGAAAAGATAATTAATAATATAATAAAAAATAATAAAATAAAATAATAAAAAAATAATAATTTTTTGTTCGGATCGAAAGTGGTATTATGCGGATTTTGAACGTCTCGGG